TTTAATATGTTACTATTTATTTAGATCTAATATGTTACTATATTAATTTGAAAATTATGAATTGTCATGCGTGTAGAGAACATAAGAACATTCTAATGCAGTCTAGAGTTGATACTGCAAAAAAGTCACATAGGCTTCAATTTTCAAAATTGATTTCTAAAAGGGTATAATATTATATTGAAAAAACTATTGACGGTCATATATGTTTATTTAAAACTTTTTTTCCTTATATGTAGGTCACACAACTGTACAATGATGATAAAGCGAATAAGTAAATGCTTTCTTTGGCTCGAGGTCATGGAAGACGAGTACCTTATTATTCGGGTTATTATATTTGTAGGTTTAGGTTTCATACATTGCAGAGTGATGAGACTAAAAAAACACAAAACAATAGAGTTATGGTTAATGGGGAGAATCTAATTGACGATGTGCCTTGGTATGTAATCTTAGTAGATATATTGAGCTCTGTTATACATAAGGAAATAGAGTTGTACTGTTCAATTGTGATTGGTATGACACAGCGCGAAAAAAAACATGTTACAAGATAGATCGTTATGAAATAATCACTATTAATACAACACGCAAGTTAAATACTCAAGTCAAGCATCCCAAGCTTTCACTACAAAGAATGTTTCTTTGAACCAAGCTATAGCAAGGAAATGTTGGTTTCGATGACACAATATTTCAACGTTGTAGATCATTAAAGCGAGGAAATATATGCTTCCTCGCTAAAAGTTTAGCGGGAATTCTTTCCAATCCCTCCAAAACTATAGCGATAAATGGTTCATATTCCTCGCAGTAGGCCTCACACAATTTTTCACATTTTCTAAAAAATGCCGCCATTTTTTTCCGAAAAAATGGGAATATTACCTCTCTTTTTTATGAAATTTTGTTTTAGAATATTGAACAATGGTGAGGAATTTTGTCTTTGTCACAGTAGGTTTTTAGGGAGGAATTTTTTCATTGGAGAATGGCATGTATAGCGAGGAATTAATATTGGTCACTAGTTTTCATTTTATCCATGTATTTATTTAGTTTTGCTATAAACAAAATGTCTTTTATTTAGTTAGTATAACAAAAGGATTATTTTTTATGCTGAAACGACGTAGTTGTGCATAGATGTAAATTTGCTTAGCTTCCATTATCATTCTCAGACCTCTGTCTTTGGATTTGAACTGACTTCTCTTTGAAAAAAAAATCACGCTCTCTTTCCCTTTTGCTCTTGATGTGCCATAACTCTTGATTGTTAATATCTTAATCAATCCTCTCAACTCTCTCTCTCTCTCTCTCTCTCTCTCTCTCGCTGCAATGAAAAGAATTTAAAATAAGACTTGGAGTTTTGTGGTGGAAGCAAATCCTAGAAATGTTTATGAGATGACTAATGATGAGAGTAAACTATACCAAGAAGAAGAGACTCAAAGTCGAAGCATGCATGTCATCCAAAATGATGTTGAAGATAATAAAATATATTGAAGAAGGCATGCGATTTAACTTAAAATTATGGGATGAGTTCTCATGTAATTGGATTGTCCAAGTTTTTTGGTTCTTTTGTCTATTTATTATGGAATAAGCTCCCATATTATTTGGATTTAGTTCAGTTGGATTGGCTACTTTGAGTTACCTATTTTGGAATGTGATGGGTTATTTGTCTTATCATTATCAATCAAATTCTTTTATTTTATTTATGTACAACTATGATGAGTCATGTAATTGGGACTGTCTAAGTTTTTTTGGTTGTTTTGTCTTTTTTATTATGGAATAAGCTCTCATATTATTTGGATTTAGTTCAGTTGGATTGGCTATTTGAGTTACCTATTTTGGAGTGTGATGGGGTTATTTGTCTTATCATTATCAATCAAATTCTTTTATTTTTATTTATGTACAACTATGATGAGTTTTCATTTTTCAATTTTGTTTGTCTTTTATTTCTAAAATAAATAATAGGCACTGTAGGCAATTTACTGAGCTTTGGAACTTTTAATGTGTAAGATTACATAATTTAATTGGATGACAATCATTAGTCACTAACATAAAGTTCCTCTAACAACATAGTATTGATTATATTTTGTACTTATTCTACAATAGGAAATTGAACTTCCAACTTTTTCCGAGAACGTACCGACAACACATTTGCGCTTGAAAATATGTACTCACTTCCGACTACACCTAATACCCTCGAAATATAATGGCATTACACTTCCAACTTTTCCGAGAACATACCGACAACACATTTGCGCTTGAAAATATGTACTCACTTCCGACTACACCTAGTACCCTCGAAAATATAATGGCATTACAGAGAGGATATATTTCTCTCATAAATAGTCAAATAATTCCAACGTAATGCGAAGCCCCTATGAAATAATCATCCTATTTCCGACAAACATATTTTTTGTCATTAATAAAGTTGGCGCCAAGTCTTCCCGCCAAATAAATTACATTTTCAATGAATAGAGACTTGTTCCAACGGCACTTCATTTGTCGGAAACATAATTTCAACCTCGTGGCATATTTCCAACGATTAACATATTTTGGTCAGAAAAAACACTTTTTCCGAGGGAAGCTAGCAAAAAAAGTTGGTCAGTGATGACTTTTTTTTGGTGAAGTTTAATGAGTTAAAAAAAAAGTTTAATTAGTTCATCTATTTAGAAATTGTATATGATTCCATGTTTAAGACTATCTTAATTTTTTTTATGACCATATTATTAACACTAAATTTATTATTAATAGAATATGTTGGATTTAACTTCAAACATTAGTTTAGAGCATTTGAAGACCAATATTTAATTTTCAACATTATACTTTATTTATTTATGATTAAAATAATTTTAGAGCATGATGGTCAAGATATGTATTTAACACAAAAAATATATAGTGAAAGTGAAAGTGCTTTTCTTTTTACCACACACTTGAATAGAAAAGTCATTTCAACACAATGGCCTTTTTAGTCATTATACATAGCTCACAGCACATTCACACAAAAATTCACCAAACACTAATAAACTGATTATTGTACCAACATCCACTATAAGAAATTGGCATGTTGCAACACTTTAATGCGACAGTGCACGCTGCCCTTGGAAATACACTTGCCCTATCATAAGTTGTATCGTAAATAGAGTCGCAAATGAATTGTACACAACTATATATTTGACACCGTTTTACTTGTTGTTATGTACATTATTTTTGCGACATTACTAGACATTTTATACGACGTGAAAATAAAACGTCCCAAAATAAACGTTTCGTCTCCCTTTGCCGCTCTCACTTTTCGCTCTAAATCAAACCATCAATTGCTTTCTACTTCTTGTAAGCCTCCAATCTCTCTCTCTCTCTCTTCTTTATTTCTTTCTTCGTCTCTATGTCCATCTCTCTGTTTGATTTTAATAAAAAATTTACCAAACGCCAAACCACTTTCTTTCATAGCTAATTTCACTCGCAACATATCTGATATCGATTATTTCATATAACAGAATTGCCAAACTGGCCCTAAGAATATTAAACAAGCAGTTGCTGGTTTTGTAAAGAGATATTCACTAAAATATTTAGATTGGTGGTTCTTTCCTATTGGCTATGCGTATGTATTACAAGCTGAAATTTCTGTGTTAAAACATGGTTTTAAATTATAATAAAGTTAGCTATTGAAGGTAATTCTAAGGTTTCAATTGATATTTTAAATTTCATGGAGTATTTTATCACATGTTAAGGATACCAGAAAACTTCTTTGGCAGCTGCATGAATATGCAATTCAGCATATATTTCGCAAAACAAACTTGGTAGCAAATGCCTTAGTAAGGATATGACATAATTGTGTACATCCGTAGGTATGGCTGTCAAATTTATTTTTAGGTGACAGTTAAACTTTGTTTTGATTTTCAGAATATTGAGATTTTAAGGATCTTCGTTGTAGTTTTTTTTTTAGTTTTTTTTTTGGAGTTTCACTAAAACACCCAAAATGGGGGCTGGAATTATAAAAAAACCCAACACCCAAAACACTTTATAAACACACCAAAAATTCATCATTACACACACTCAAAATCCATTGATAAACACACCCAAAAAATATACAATTGTTGATTTTGGGGTTGATTTTAGGTGTGTTTCTATATTTAAATAGTGTTTGGATTTTTTTATAAATACATGTTTAGAATTGGGTTTATTTATAAATTTGTATTTTTTTTTCCACTCAATTAGACATGTTGCCAAAGTGGATAATTTTTCACACCTCCTTTCTACTAAAGTGGAGAATTAATAATAATAATAATCATAATTAACTTTGGTATAAAAGGTAAGGTAGTTTAAGAAAAAAGATCTAGGCACCCACCCATATGGCCTTGGGTCTTAAGTCATCAAATATCCCCCGGTCGGCCCAAAGGAAATAAACGAAGGCCCCTGGCTCTGTGTCTGTAGGCCAACCCTCTACTTTCTTTGTAGCCCTTGTCCAAAGCAAACACACATCGAGTCTTCTTCCTCAAATTTCAAAACAGGGCACTCCAAAATCGACAAAACTGGTGCTACCTGCAGCGAATTCCTGGGCTACGCCTGAAACCTCTGTGCTTCCACTGAATGCGCACTCAAACCCAATCATTGAAGCTTTCTGCTTGGATTTGCGATTGTCTGTCTGCATATAACAAGTACATATGCTTGCCTTTTCATTCATACGATATCACATGTGGGTTTTATGTATGTATGTATGTATTTATTTTGTTATTTATTTTAGTGTATGTATGCAAGTGCCTGTAAAGATGATATGTTCTAAAGCAGTAAACTTTTGGTGCAGGTGCAGCAGACAGATACACCATAGTGGAGTGGGGGCTTGTTTTGTTATATAAATTATTTGTACAATTGGGATTTGGTTTCGAATTGTCATAAAATAATTGGGTTTTATTTATCATTCCGAGTCTGACTAAATTATTGCAAAATATGGAGGATTCTCAAAATGAGCCACTGCCTCCAGGCGTTCAGTCGTTGCAACCTCATCAAGGCTTCTTCTACCCCATATGATGAGTTCACAAGCCCAGTATAGTAATTTCACTACAACTGCTCCTCAATCTTTCCACCAAACACTTACACAGCCACATGATGGCTCATCACAGAATGCTGATATCACTCAAGAAGCTAAATCATCAATTCATAATGCATCTGATATTCATCTTGTCAATGAAAAGCACAACCTCGCACATTCTCATGGTGCTCTCCCTGCACCCACCAGAAGCTCCAGACTACATGTTGAAAATGCTAGCGAAATTGAAACTGCTGCGCAAAATGTGGTGTTGCATGAACAAGTACTTACGACTCTTTATTGTTTTTGTTTCCGCTTTTCATGTTTCATTTCTTTATTGAACTTATGTGATTATTTTCTCTTTGTCTGCCTAATAGGAAATTTCTACCCAAAATATCATACGTAGTCAAAGGTTTGTTTTTATTTGCTTTCACTAAAACCTTCTCTTCATGATGGATATGTAATCATTTTAAGTTTGATGTTTTGTTTTTTGCAATTTAGAGAAGCAAGAGGTGTGGATGAGTCTTCTAAGGATAATGTAGATGTCTTCTCGGAACGCCTTGATCCCAGCGCTCTAAAGGTGTGTAATTTGAATCAGTTTTACTTTTGTCTTGTTGCCATATCAACTCTATAGGTAGGCTCACTGAGTATATCATCTCCTATTCTGAAATATTATCAGTTTGTGCATTCTGCTTATCGGTGCTGCTACAGGAGCATCTACTGAAGATGACCACGGAACATCGAGCTCAAATGGCTTCAAAACGTGGGAAGTCTACCCTCACTGGAGAAGGTTGGTAGAAAGTTTCTTCTTTATGATTGGCATGTACTGTTATTCCCTTCTCAAAACTGTGATACCTAGTTTCAAAGCATTGGAAGTTTGGCCTCCCAGTACAATGGTTGTCGTTCCTTCTTTCTCCTTTACTGTTGGGCCTTTTTTCTTCTGTTACTTCTGTGGTCAACTCTTTTGAACATAATGTTCTTGTTAAAAAAATTTCTTTACTAAAACAAGAGTGTCTAACAAGGAATAAACAACCTCTTAATGAAAACAGGGAACATTATGACATCAGTGAAATGAAATGTTATATATTTGAAGCTTCTGTGAGGAAAATGAAAAACAGTATGGAATGCACAGGGGTGGGGCTATTTCGAATATGCCACAAGAGACGGTTCCTTGTTTGTCAATCCAAGTAGTTATCTCCCTCCTGATTTATTAACAGCTTCTATTTTTTCACCATTCAACTCAATGGAAGAGTTACGAACTAGCTCTTAGTCTAGTGGTATTTCTCTTTCCCATGTTGGAAGAGGTCCCAAGTTCGAATTCCTTGTCCTCTGTTAATAAAAAGAATAACACGGTGAAGGAGTTTCTTTTCACAATAAGTAGGATTCGAGTCAATGTAGCTTCCCTTAAGACGTAGTGCATCTGGAATTGATGCATGACTTGAAGTTGCCTTTTATAATAAACCAGGATTCAAATTGTTGATTCTCTTAAATGGATCAACGTGAGAGGTGAGAAGGACAGATTGAGACGGGAGATAGGTAGAATAAATCACTCACACAGGATAGAAGATACATGTGTTCACCCGAGTTAGGCTACACCCACAGGGTTAAAGACTTCTCATTATGATAATGTAGTGTTTATGTATTACAAGAAGTTGGCTTAAGCATAAGAGATGATTAAATACTCAGATTCTATAGGTGAGAGAGGGTCCTCTATTCGTGTTGTCTTGCAGTGTGGGAAAATTATCCCGTTTGTATTCTTCATGTTTGAAGAGCTTCCTGTTCCCATTTGTTATGGGGTTTCTTGGGAGACCAATCGTGGCCTAAACAAAACTCATTGTAACTTCCATTAAGCAGCAGTCCTCACTCTGAAAATTGTCTTTTAAAAGACGGCCTTGATTTAAAGTTGGCGTAATCTGGATGGGGAATACAAAACAAGGATACTTCTTTGTCCTTTGCAAGAAAGAAGCTTGGGAAGGATTCCAAAATTTTGTGGCACATGTCCCTCATTTCTAGAAGCTTCCAAAACTTTTTTCTTCTTATAATAAACAAGAAAAAACCTTTGGCAGATTTGACAAATCCCACGGATGAGCCGACTCAAATTTGTATGTAAAACCTGAGAATTCCATGGAAGCTTCTGGAAATGAGAAAAATGAATGAACTAGTGATTTTTGAGTCCTTGGCTTTTCTCTGACAGGATGTTGTCTATATGCGGCTGAATATATGGTGGGTAATACAGCTAAGTGATATTGCAGACCCAAAGGAGAAGCATAGAAGTACTAAATAAGGAATTGGAAGCAAGCATAGGCACCTTTAGTCAAGGTGTGTAGAAAAGCCCAACAATATTCTATATATAAAGCTTACCTAGAATTGTCATCATTAAAGTTTCCATGCAATTTCTAAGAAAACATTTATCGGTATCCTAATGCTCACTTTAAAAATAAATTAAAAAGGTTTAAGTTACAGTGATGGAATGTGATTTAACAATCAGCGTGTATGTTATCTGAAATGTAGGAGAAAGTTACTTTTTTGAACTGGGAGAAGAAAGCTTGATTTGGCTGTTCTTTTACAATTAATAAAACCTTGGTAAAAATTAAAAATAGATACGAGAAGTTTGCCCAACTAGAATTACATGTCGTGTGGAAAACTTCAAATGTTTTAGGAATCCAATTATTCATGTTAATCCAGGTCATTTTTAGCTCAGTATGCTCATAGTGGTCAGGCAAAATTTATTGGTGTGGTTGGAAACCATGTGAAGATAATTGCTTACAGGAAAGAGGAAAATGTTCTGCCAAATGAAATATTCGCTCAACTGAGACAACCATAATTGTAGTTGTTATATGTTGTTTCTATGGATCATGTTTAATGTCATTTGCCATATTTGATATGCCAATTACTCAACAAAATAACTAGTCTTGCGTTCTGAGTTAATCTGAACAATGCTCATTTGCTGATTTCATACTAGGTAACATAGAAATCGGTAATGGTTATGGTGTACCAGGAGGAGGTGCTTATTACGGTGCTCCAGGACCTAATGTTACTATACCTAGTAAGCCTAATTGACAAAACTGAAGAATATTTTTCATTGTCATTTTCTCTTAATTGTCTACTGTAGAAATTGAGCATTTTCTTGTTTGTTTTCCTAGGAAATCTGGGAGTTGGAAATAGTGAGATGGGTCAGAAGAATTTGAGTCTGACAATGAACAGAAGTCTCCAGCTAAAGAATTGCCAGAGTATCTTAAGCAAAAGTTGAGAAACAGGGGTATTCTTAAAGACGACTCAAGCAAAAGCAATCTTGTAAGTTTTTGCTATGGAAATAATTTGCCCTTACCAACGCTTTTAGCTTCTCTCTCACCTCACTGTCGAACTTGTTTTACATTGTTTTGAGAACCAAATCTTATTTGAAGCTATGTTCTTCAATCTATTTGTGCAAGTTCAGGATGGAGTTTTTGAAAATGCTCTTCTCTTGTTGGTTGATTGGATATCCAAGTCCCATTCCTTTGTATGAGAAAGAATGTGTTGAGGCTCATATGTGTTGCGTCCAAGGTTGGTCTCAAGGAATGTCAACTGTTCTCTAGTCATTGGGGGTGATCACGAAAGTGGCATATGGTGTTAGACTGAACTTGGTACTAGTGTTTTCAAAGGTGTTAACTAGGAGCTGGCATCAAGGCAAGGCAGAGGCAAAATGCCCCAGACATCTATCTGTTGAGATAAATGCTCAAAAGGCGTAAGCATTGCTCCGGTAGTGTGTGGCTTTTGCATAATAGCTTAAGAGGCAGATGCCCCCTTTCTTCGTTGAACCCACAACAACCCACTGCTTTGGGAGGCTTATGCCTCGTCTTGCAAGTGCCAAAACACCTCGCATTACGCCTTGGCCTTCGAAAACACTGCTTGATACCACTGTGTGGGTTCAGGAGCACTTCTGATGCAAGACGCGTAGGACCTAAATTTATTAGTTTCCTAATATATTTGTTAGTTTCCTAGATTCTCTAGTTTTCCAAATTCTAGTAGGATTTTTACTTTTCCTGATTTCCCGATTTCTAGTTTTAGGTTTCCTATTTATTTAGGATTTCTGTTTAAGCAAGGGTTTTTTATCCTATTATGTCTAGGTTTTAGTTTGCTATAAATAACCTCATATAGTTCTTTAAAATTCAGATTTGGATATTGAGTAAACCTTCTCTTAAAACTATGTGATTTCTGTCCTTCCTTCTCAGTTCTCTGATTTCGGTCCTTTCTTTCATCCCTTCGATCTATATTTTTGTCTCCTCGACCTCCGATATTCTTCTTGTTCTACTGTTCTGCCCTTTCTTTCTTCTCTTCGATCATCAATCTCTTATATTCTTCTATGTTCTATTGTTTGAGTGCTTAATCTAATACCTACGGGCTGTACTACATCAACTTCACTATAAGTTTGGCCTTGACAAGGACGAGAGGGTTATGAGTGAGGATGTTCTGAAGCTAATATTTTGTGCATTGTGCAAGTATGTTAAATTTCAAGTTCGTTGTTTATTAGGTTGATCTAGAGGGAGTACAAGGAAGTTTTTTACAAGGAACCCCATTGTTGACTAATTCTTTGGGGTATTATACTGATATAGCAAGCTCATTCCCTAGGTTGTGATATGGCAAGCTGACTAATTCTTGTTTTAGTTTATTTCTCCGGTCTTCTTTTTTAATCCATGGGTAACTTAAGTTTGTCCTCAAGTTATCTTATTTTCTTTTTTGAATATATAATTTCTCTTTTTATTTATTGGAAAGACAGTTTCTCCTATTTTATTTATTGCTCTTTTCTTATAAACCTCCTAGGTACCAGAAGATTGTGTCCCCTTTTAGTTTTCTTAATGAGTTTTCTGTACACTATTGGTTATTTTCATAAATATTACACTGCTTATGAAAAAGAAATAAGTTTGGAGTTCTGAAATATCTTTAACTTCTATTGTGGACTACTCAACTTATGACATTGGACTTCCTCCGTTTGTTATTCTCAGTTTATCTCTTTTCCTTTGATTAACCTGTAACTTTCAATTTCAGAAGTTGAAAAGTAGTTCAACGCAACAGACGGAATATGGGAAATTGCCTCCTGGATGGGTGCGTATCAGTTGTGAGATATAATTGTATTTTTATTGTATTTTTTTATTAGGTATTTTTTCTCCTAGCTGCTGGATAGAATTGTTGTGCAAAGACCATATCATGGAAAATATAGTTGAAATTTGTTTCATTTAACAAAAACAATGACTTGTTCCTATGAGTCATCACTGAAGACTAAAGAAAGCAAACAAGTTACAAATAAGATAAGCTCATTCTTGTTAGCTAAAAGTGCACATGATATGCTAGCGTACAAGGGCTCACATGTGCACACATAAATAGAACGAGGCCATAATTTAAATTTCTGAAATTAGTAAAATTGTATTCTATTTAAAATGTCATGTTGTATTCTTTCATGCTGCTATTACCCTAATACTTCTTGTATTACTTTTTAGGTGGAGGCAAAAGACCCTGCAAGTGGTGTGTTGTATTATTACAATGAGGTCAGTGGCAAGAGTCAATGGGAAAAAGCCTGCTGAGACATCTTCTGTTACACCACTTCCATCACCTGTATCTCTTCCAGAAGATTGGGTGGAGGCTTTGGATGAAACAACAGGTATGCGTGCCAAATGTTCTATGTGTATTCTGAGAGAAGTACACCAACATCCCAGGGATTTCATGAAGTCACTGGTATCCACTGTGGATGTGTAAATAGCACTTTAGTCTTAGTAAATTACACTTGGCTCTCTTGTTTCAGTTTCCATTTGTAAATGACCGTCGATGACAAAAAAGTAGTAAGACCTTAATGAAAAATGAAAAAAAGAGAGGATAAATTTGTTTATATTGATATAGTATTATATATCGTGAGATTCTTTCTGTAGGACGTTAAAGGACAGATGTATGAATAACATATCGATAACATATCAGTAACATGTCAATAGATTATTGATATGCCAATAACATGTTAAACATATGTATGGACCAGTTATGACATGTTATTGATATTTTAGCGATACATTATTAATATGTTATTGACATGGACGTCCAAATTCCTGCAGAGAGACGCACTATATATATACAATTATTCTCTCATCCAGATGTCTGCATGTTATTATTGTGCGGATGCCATTGTAAACAGGGAGGAAAGCAGGGAGGGCTAGTAGAAAATACATGGCGTCTGTGCGATAATAATGTCTGGATGTCCGCAGAGGAAAATTTATGTGTGTGTATATATATATATATGTACATATTTATATAGGGAGGGAGAGAGAGAGAGAGATGGAGGATTTATAAAACAGTACACTTAGGGAGAGGTAGTAGAAAATACATGGCATCCACACAATAATAACGTCTGGATGTCTTCAGAGGAGAATTTCTGTATATATATATATACACATATTTATATAGGGTGAGAGAGAGAGAGAGATGGAGGATTTATAAAACAGTACACTCTGTGCCACTCTCTTTCACATATTCTTCAGATATATTTCCTATATCCTTCAATAGTAAATGATGCTTGAGATTCTTGAAGAAAAGAAAAAATAAGAGTCAGCGAGAGAGAGACAGAGAGATCTATATCCTTCAGATAGTAAATGATGCTTGAGATTCTTGAAGAAAAGGAAAAATAAGAGGCAGTTCAAAGTTCGGAACAAAAGCAGGAGAAAAAGAGAAAGGTGAAGAACTATAGAAAAAGGACATGTTCTTCCGTGGAATGGGAGCTGGGATTATTCACACGATCACCCTCCAACAAACGATAACAGTTCCAAGGACAAGAAGGTGGTTACTCTTTAGTAGTTGTTATCTTTTGTTGGTGGGGGGGTGCCTTGTTGTTGGGAATTATAAAAGGGCAGTTACTTTCTGGTGGTCTGCAGTCTTGGTTCTTGTGTTTGGAAAGGGATAAAATGTTCTGTGAAGGTAAGGAAGGGGTGAAGTTACTTTGTGATAGAACCAAATATTTAGCGCCTCTTCATTTTAAAGATTTTGAAGATGAATCCTTTGTGTTATTCTTCTTGGTTAGGGAGAGCTTTGATCTAATAGTGATTTGCATTTATGTTTCTGGGTGGGGCTTCTGGGTTAGACATCTGGTTCGTCTCACTTGTATAATTTCCTTTATTAGTAAAATTTGTTTCTTATTAAATTTAACATTGGGTAGAGGAAAAATATTCAATTTGGTCTCAGGATGCAATGATAATTGGGTTTAGTAGTAGGACCACCGACTTCTGGTGGGGCAGCAAAGATTGGGCAGTGGTTTTAGGTGATCCAAGAATTTCCCCTCTCTTGGCTTGGGCTGATGTGATTTGAGAAATGCAATTGACGATGGTTGGAGTTTTGAGTGGCTTGGGCTGCTGTGGTTTTGACAAATGCAATTGATTATGGTTGGAGTTTTGAACATCTAAGGTTGAGAAAAAGGGGTTGTGCAAATAATGGTTTGTGGTGGTGGAGAGGATTTTGATTCAGGCATGGCTGGTAATGGTAGTGGAATTTGAGATTGAGATTGGGCTTGAGGATGGGAGCAATAATCATAGCCTTCTTATATGCGTATTTTACTTCTATCGCAGTTTATATGATTAGTTTTACTAAAGTCATGAAGTGATCATTGTCAAGTAATTACTGCAAGAATCCCCTGTTTTTGGAGTTAGAACGCACATTTTGCAGTTATCCAAGGAAATATGTCATTCCCATACAGTTGTTGACATGGGTTAAACTGACAAGGTGATCATTGTATGAGAATCAGGTAGCCAGTCTTGTTTCTGGAAATTGCAAACCAAGTCCTAGACAAAGTAGAGCCATGTCTCACTTACCATTTTGAAGAACAGAGATCCACTTCTGCTTTAGGGAGGTTGATGTAATGTGTTGTATGTTTCTTTTGATAGGTGTGGGAATATTTTGCCAATAAAGTTCCAGGGAGAGTTGCCCATGAACCTAAATAGTATATACATTTTTCATGAAGATGTGGTAGTGAAACATAACCAGACTACACAGACAAAATTTAATGATAATTAAAGTTGTTCGCATTCTGTTTCTTTTTTCTTTTCTTTTCAAACTTAGAACTTTCATATTTTCATGCACAGTCACAAGTATTACTACAATACAAAGACACATGTATCACAATGGAAACACCCTAACTCATCAGAGCAGGTTGCACTTGCATCTCAACATTTTGACAGCTTGGCTTCTCGAAATGCTGCTAATGTTTATTGGGATGGCCAATCAGCCGAGGTACAAGCAGAGAAGGATGAATCATCCAAAACAAAGAGATGCATGGGTTGCGGTGGATGGGGACTAGGCCTTGTTCAGATGTGGGGTTACTGCAATCATTGCACAAGGTAAGATGGCTCCCTTGTTCACAAGATACCTGTCAGGTTTCAGGAGAAACAAGCCCCATACCTGAGGGAGTGCTGGTGGAACTGATCCATAGTTAAATAACATGTGCCAAAAATGTTCTATACTTTCCCTCAAGCTAGGAAAGAGATGTCCACCAACCACTGGTTGATTCATGAATACTGAAGTAACGACAAACCCAATTCAATTTTTAAAAACATATACAACTTGGATTAATTTTATTAATAAGAAAAAGAGTTACAACAAAGGGAACAAGGTGTCTCCTAAAAACATAAAATACATCAACAAGAATAAATTATTATTTTTTTAAAAAAAATTAACTAAAATACGTGGCTACAATCTGTCAATAAGAATTAGTATGAAAGACCAATTGCTTAACGGAAACCCAAAAGGAGGCTCATAATCAAACTCTGTCCCCAAAATTATCCACCTTCTCACACCTTGCACCCTAAAAATTCTCCTATTCCTCTCCATCCAACTGTTTCCCACAAATCACATCTCCCCAACACCAATCGCCTTGTCCTACCTCTAAATTAACCTTTTACATAATAAAATGTTACAAGAAGCTGGAATATCCCTACTCAAATTGATCTCCCTAAACGTTCTTATCCACAAAGAATATAGAACCAGAAAATGGAGCAATAAAGGTTTCAAACCTTCAGCATCCTTTCTTCATATGACACACCACTAAGGAGATAGGCAAACTACAATAAGGTCTCCTCCTCTGCTCCATGTCACAAGTATTCATCCTCCCATTAGCAATAACTCAAGCTAAAGCCTGGGGCATAGGTGGTTCTTTATCCTTCAAAACTGCATGAGAGTGGATACTTCTCGCCAGAAAACCCTAGAGAGCAGAAGCTGGAAGATAAGTGGGTGAAGGGGTATGAGAGGCACTGGCAGCTAGAGAGAGGTGGAAGAGGGGCGGTTTCTAGAGATACTTTTTTCTTTTACATATTGAGGCTTTGATACCAAATTAAATTTGGCGTAAGTGGATTTTCATAGTAACATGTCTCAATGTGGATTAAAAAACAAAAAGTACATTACCTTTCCCCAATGTGAGACCAAGTGTATTTACTTTACTGACCAAGTGTATATGGCACGTGGTGAACGTATTTTGTGCTGAACTTCCAATTTTCTATAGAAGCATGTCATGTTTTACATGTTTAGTACTGAAATTTCGTGTGTCAGTGTTTATTATACAGTAAATCTACTTGTAATAAGTTGACAATGGCTTTAATAGACAAGAGTTTTAAAGCATTGCAGATACAAATCTCTCCTCTCTCTCTATCTCTCGCTCTCGGAGTTGTGGTTCTCAATATATACAAATTTGTGTGCATGATTGCATTGATACTCGTTTTTTCTGGATTATTTTATCACTTGCAGAGTTCTTCATCTTCCACAAAGCCAGTACTTGATGACGAGTATGCATAATAATCACCAGACTCCAGATCCTGTAGATATCAAAGGAGAATCCGACAGAAAGGCCCCCACACAGAGGTACCTGTCTTTCATGGAGCTAGGTTTTCTTAAGTAACTGCTTGCTTTTAACTACGAAGTCGTAAGTGTCCATAGAACCTTAAATGCAGTGAAGTTGTCTTGGACTGCCATTATATGTAAGAGATGTGATTTTACTTTCGGTTTTTAGGTCCAATTGGAAACCTCCAATGGGAAAGGGAAATAAAAAGGAAAGTAAGAAACGTTCTTACTCTGAGGATGAGGAATTGGATCCTATGGACCCCAGCTCATATTCAGATGCTCCCCGTGGTGGCTGGTATGTTCCACAAACTTGATTGATCCATTTAGAGTGATGTTTTATTTTGTTTCCTCCTTTTAATATTTGTAAAATTTATCTGGTGCTTATTTTCAGGGTTGTAGGCCTTAAAGGAGTGCAGCCACGAGCTGCTGATACCACTGCCACAGTAAACTCAATACTTTTGCCTCAATAAATTTGTCTCATTATCTTGTTATAATGTGCCAGTAAATATATATAAAATAGGAAAAACGGAAAATTGTATATTGGCTTGGATATTTCATGAGTGATGCAACCTGGATGATACACCTCCATGCGTGGGAATATTGTCCATGTTTGTATATCTATTGATACTTGAAATTGTCAACAACATCAGAATGTGATGCTTCCTTTCTCTCCCAGTGATGCACATAAATATTTTCCTGTTGTATGTTGATTTTACCATTTGAAATGAACTGTATTTGAAAAGCTGTCATGCTTTAATTAGATGATGTTATGTTTCTGGTATATTTCAGGGTCCTCTCTTCCAACAGCGTCCTTACCCATCACCAGGTGCCGTCTTGAGAAAGAATGCTGAAGTTGCTTCACAGACCAAGAAATCAAGCTCACATTTTGCACCTATATCCAAAAGAGGGGACGGGAGTGATGGACTTGGTGATGCAGACTGAGAGTTTTGAGCAATTTTGGTCTGTTTTGCATATCAGATTACAGGTGTATGTATGTATTCTTTTCGTTACTTTCTAATCAACTTTAAAGATACGGTTTTATCTACAGCGCCAGATGACCCATTAATTTAACAATAATTTATGTAGCTGCTTGCTGCTGCCATACTAAGCTGGGTTGCATAACTAGACAATGACAAGCACAGACCTTGGAGTAATGATGCCCATCTTTGAAGTCAAGTCAAGGGAAGACTGTCTTGTTGGGGTCGGAAAATGCTGCTTAATTGCAAGCCTGTATACATTCAAAGAAGAAAATAGAACGTCGCTGTATTCGTCTCTTCTATTCATCTCATAGTAGTACCAGTAGGGTTTTAAAGTTCAAAGGTCTTCCTGTGATCCCAATTAGAATGAATATGTAAAGCAATGGTTGAGAGCACTATCGTTATACATAATTGAAGCATTTTTAATGTCATGAGGTTGAGGGCATTGAAATGGTCTAGTGTTAGCGGCATTGAGAATAATGCATGCAACTTTCCCGCAAGTTTTGGTAAATCTGTTTTGCCGTTAAATGTTACCCTGTAACATAGATACTGCAATGCATGCGGAATCTAGTGGATTTTTTTTAATCTTGAATGTCGTTGAAATGGGTTCTTGTGCGACAAGCATGTTAGGATGGAGAATTTTTGTAAATCTCCCACCTGCTTTGTTCTGCTGTCTTATTCAATCTCTCTCCTTGAATGGGTAACGATGGTCGGCGAAAGGTTGAACATAAAATTCCCAGTGGTTGATGTTATTCAAATTTGTGCTACATCTTCTTTATAAATCCTTAAGCAAAAAAAAATCCTCTTTATAAATGGCAGATTGAATGGGACAGTTTGAACACACAAAATGAAGTTCTAAAGGCTAACAGGTTAGATCATCAACAGATTGCAAATTCAAGGACACAATTGACTTCATATACAAGAGAAACTTGGGCAAATTTAGCCATTGTCCACTTTTCCTAAAGGCTAACAAGTTAGCTCCTCCGTTTGACATGGAGAAATGCAGTGGAATTTCTTCATTCTGATTTAGCCTTCTTGTCTACCTTTTCCTCTTTTAGTTGTGGAACTAGCACCCTAAATGTCCATATGGCCAGTAGAGTCGCCTCAATCGGGGCAAGCCAGTAGACAAGTATATGCTCCTTTGTTACATGGGCGCCACGAGCATAAGCCCATCCCATCACCTACATAAGTCAATAAGTTTAATACATTCAAGTTTCTAAATGATTAATGATTAATGATTAATTGTAGTAGGTACTTACAGAGGCTGGGTTCATGCAACCACCGGTCAGATCAGAGCCAAGAATATGAAGAGTTAACTTAGAAACACTTGAGATCCATGTCTTCATGAAGAAACTCCCTGGGATGTTTCTGGCAAGCCCAAGTGAGATAGTAACAATTGCAAATGTTAGCAATCCTTCTGTAAGTGCACCTCGATGGATATCAACATTCAGACGTGGCCCAAGACCTATTTCAGGAAAGAGCTGAATTATGAGCTTGACCCCAGCAATAGAGCCAATAACCTGAAGAGATAAGAGATATGAGAGAAATTAAGTTGTCATCACTGTAAATATGGAATTAGGAAAATCATTTGAAGTAGTACCTCCCACAACAGATAATATGTTTAGAAACTGAAAGGCACATGGTTTTTGGCAAAGTTATTCACTTACCTCAAAAGTTGGAGCAGGAAGATAAAGCCTTATCATAGGTTACACGCAGTAACAGCTTAGTTCAACTGATATTTTCACTCAAGGCTTGGGTTAACCTTCTTTATGAATTTATGTTAGTACATGCAAGGGTTAACTAGGAAAAGGTACGTTATTCCATAATCAATGTCTATTCACTCAATAAACTCGTAATTACATAATCAAAGCTCAATTACAGGTTTATAACAATACTCTCCAACAAAACTAACACCAAGGAGTGCAGGACATCACACCTGTAATTGAGCTTCAATATTTAAAAAATCCTTATCATAGTTTTCACGCAGGAACAGTATAGTCCAACTGGTATTTTCACCCCAACCTTGTTGGAAAACAAGAGAAACAATGGTTCCTCTGATTTTATTCTTCTTCATTTTGGATGAACTCTCAAATTTCCCTAGTTCTCTATGTTTTCCATATTGGTTCTATATTGACACAAGGCTTGGTTAGGAAAACATTTCTGATTCCATAATCTATGCCTAATCAGTAATCAACTCTTAATTACGTAGTCAAAAGCTCAATTATAGCATTATAAGTAGTCAATTATTTCCATCTAAGCTAGTACCAACGAATGCATGATATTGAACCATACAATATGACTCCAAGAACTTGGAAAAAACAACTGCCACGGTAAAAGGTCACCAAAAGAGATCTGACAGCAATGTCACTGCACAAGAGAAGAGGCAGCTATCTGGTCTAAAACACCATGGGGTCTTTCAAGGACATTTTCTGAGGTCAAGCTCGTCACTTGACCAGCTCTAATCAAACCTCCAACCCATATTCACTAGTCTATAACTATAAAAAGTCCTATTTCTCTCTTGATGCACAACACTCAAAAGAACAGTGGAACTCTAGCTTTTGCTTTGCTTCCCTTGTCAAAAGTCTTGTGCTTCTGTCCAAAACAACAGACATGTATGTAGCTGGAGTTATCCTACTCAGTTCAGCTTCCCTAAACAACCTCAAGAATAAGTTTAATGCCACAGGAGAACGAAGAAATAAGTGATCACAAGTGATATAACTTGCTGCAATTAATTATCCAAGCTAGTATCTGTGCCTTAGGCTATACTTTATCATAGAAGGAGGCTAAAAACATGCAGTGGATTCCACTTTCCACCTACAATCTGTTCTAGATGCATGTGAACCAAATTGAGGACATAAGGATCCCATTTTGGCCAGAAACCTGTCATGAAAGGGGATAGGAGCTTTGATTTGGGCTTTGATATGTGCCTTTATTACTCTTGAACGACATTTTTTTACCACTGAATTGGAGAGTCTGTTCTTGGGAAGTAGAACCTGATAAAACAAAAGCGAGCTTAATTGACGTTCTCTCAAGGCCAATCAATCTCAAGTGTTGAAGAGTTAAAAGACGGCCACTATAAATTGCTATCTATGGTCCAATAGGATTTGCAGCGGCAGACAACCCTAGGGAGACTGAAGAGAAGAGGACCCAAGCTTCTTCGTTTAGGTGCATCAATCAATTTTGCCCCTTTGCAGCTAGGAAGGGTGGTCTAAGGAAGAGTTCCCACGATCTCATAAAAAATGAAGTATTGAGAGCAGCAGGGGAAGGGTCAGAGCTGCCACCAGACAACCTCCTAGGACAGCAATCTTAAAACAAAGGAGGATTCTGGTAAGGGGAAGAAACGGGTAGCCATGGAAGAGTTGTAGGAGAAGTTATTAGGTCATCTTCTCCTTTTACCACAGCTCCAATTACTGAAGACCAAGGGGTGTGCAAGATAACTGCCCTTGGCAGTCTATATGCCTTCCTTAGATACCTTAGGGTTACAATCATTCAGGAAGAAGTTGTAGAAGTTACAAAACGAGTAGACAAATGGGGGCTCGTTGCTTGTGTTTCATTTAGTTTCTTTCTCTCTTTAGTGCAAACTTTTTCTTTGCTTCCCGTTCTTCCCTCATCAGCCTTCGTATTGTTGCATTCATAGATAAATGTGGTTCATCTTCTTCAACTATGCCTTAGGATGATGAACTATTTAGATCAAATCTATCCAATTTGAACAACATATCAACAGTTCACTTCTTTTCCAACTAATGTTTTCATTTTAGTGCCACTCTTCTTAAGAATTTCGTTCTCTCTCTTAAGGAAAAAATACAAACTACTTGTTTCATGGCATTAGTGTCATCTAGAACATCTATTCTAATTATTTACGCACAATATAATTCAGAAAGGACCACTTAATAGGGTATAATAAAGGAGCGGAGGCAGGGCATATTTAGAGACTTGTATGGAGTATCACCATAATAGGTCTGTTGTAATATATGTCAAGAGATTATCTAAATTCCAAAATCAACCGGAAAGCGACATAAATTGGCATTTCCCACACGGAAAACAATTCCTCAGTTAATTAAATCTGTTTGAAGATGTATAATTTCTATTTCACTAAAGCAGTCAAATAGAGAACACAAACAAGAACAACCAATATCTCAAATCGTTCAACCAAAAAAAAGGCACGTATAATTCAAAATTTTCAAACAACTCAAATTGTTCATGTATCACAGAAACTAGGAAACCAAGATAACCCAGAAACCGCTATTTAAAGCCAAATAAGATTTCAGCCACCCAAATTAGATTTTCCGCAACCGAAAAATGTAAAAATCAACTCTACATACAAAGATCAAAACCCAAGATTCATTCACTCTAAATTCTACCATTTCCCTCCTCAAGTTTTGTATCTAGCCAACCAAACAACCAAATAAGACAAGCCCATGAAAAGGGGGCTTTGGGTTACCTGAGCAGGGATTCTTGCAGCAACAGTGAAAAGAAAGCGGGTGAAATCCCCAGTGATTGCGGCAGCAAAAACAGTGAGAGGATTGTAAGTGCCACCATTGGTAATCTTTCCCAACAAGGCAAAGAAGAACATGTTTACAATTGACAGAGTGGATTTGATAATCTCACCGGTGGGTTCATGGCCAAACCCCAGATTGTTGTAAACATACATCTTAATCAAGACCCCTGACCAAACCCACATGAATGAGATTGTGAAATCTGATACAAGCAAACCAATCCTCCCCATTTTGCTCGCACAGAAATCACCAACGCTTACGCTTTGCACAGAAATGGTGGCTGGCCAGTGCCCAGGCTCTAGGGAATGCGGATGATGAATAAATTCGTTTACTTTGTCCTTCCATGTTGACCAAAAATAGAATTTTTTTTTGTTGGGTCGGAAAAACGCAAAGAAAATGTTCCGTGAGAGGATATATATTTTTCAAACCGCGCCCGCTTAGGTAGGTGCGGGGACCATACCATACGAACTTTCTCTGTCTTTTCGTGTGTCTTGTCGGATTGTAGGTTCTTTTTGTCGAATACAACCAGCCCACGACTCTTCAAAAATAGGGAAATTGACGGCTTTGTACCACTAATTTATTTAATTATATCCCAATTTTGAAATCTGATCACAAATACCCCGTAGAAAAACTTCCTATTAACAGTCTATTGCCCATATGTCACTTCTTTTTCTTCTTCTCAGTCGTTGCTCTTCTTCTTCCTCTTCTATCTAGTCTCTTCCTCTTCTTCCTTCTGCCAAACCTCACAAGAATCCACCTCCACTGTAGAATCTCGCTTAATTCAATTTTCTCTTAATTATATCTTCAAACTAGGAGCTAATTTGAACATTAAGGTTGAACCCCAAATTCGGAATCGAACCCTAACCAAGGCGTGACTCGCCACCTCCGTCGTTGGCCTCCATAACGAAGCCATAATCGTGACTCTCCACCTTCATTGTCGACTTCCACCACAAAGCCACAACACCTTCATCTTCGATCTTCACTGTGGTGAGTTCTAATATTTTTTTGTTTTTTTTTTTTTTTTTTTTTTTTTTTTTTTTTGTTGGGTTATTGATTGATTATTAGGTGATTACTTCCATTATTTTTAATGAGACATTAATGGGTTTCTGTTGTGGTTTGTTTGTTGTTTCTGTGATTGAATGAAATTTACCAACTATTTCTTGTGGTTGTCAAGCTCTTGGACTTGGATACATTGTTTGTACTTATGATTTGTCTCTAAATCATGCATATACTGGTTTGTGATTGAGACTTGGACTTGCAGACCTCCTTGAAAGTTGTGTATTCACTCTTTTGTGATTATGATTTGTTTGTGAAAGCACTTAGGTGATATATCAAATTAGGACTTCTGGCTTTTTTGAGCAATATGTAAGAATACATATAAAACTCATAGATGCTCTTTGAAATAACAGTAATGTGGGTTTTAACCGTAAGAAACCAACATCATAATTTGAAACCAATAGCACCACCAACAAATGCAAGATTCTCATCATTTACTTCTTTTAAAAGTGATTGGAGAGTTTGTAAGTTTTATGAGAATGCTAATATTTTAACATACGTTTGATAGTGTAAAGTTGGCATGTGTTGGATCTTTGTTTTATCTATTTTTTTCATAATTCAATCCTGGATCTGTTTTTGGTGCGGTCTACAATCCTCAAGGTTGGTATCATGCCAAGGTTGTGTTGGTGCTATAAAAAGGGTTCTTGAAAAACTTGAAGGTTTGTTGACAGCTCTTGCATTTATCTAGTTCCATTGTCTTGCTGTTCTTATTCTCTGAGACTGTGCTTCTTTAACTGTTTGAACAATGCCAAATGCACTATTGATGATTTCCTGATTTTCTGATTTGTATTTTTACTCGCCTGCCAGGATACACATTCACTTCACCCATGTTTATAATTACTTTTATATTGTAACTGAGTAGTATGAAATTGTTTGCATGAATGTGAACTTTAATTTTACAATGGTACTGTCTTGTGAAAGCTTGCCATATGAAGAATTGGGTCATTTAGAAAAGCCAATAATCTGTATGAATTTTGGTATTGGTTTCTGTTTTGAAATTCAATTGTGATTAAATGTTATGTTTTTGTTTCCATTGTGATCGAATGATTTTTTACTTCTAATATGCATTTTTTATTCGTTGTATATAGATGGAAGATTGTCTTGCTTCAAGTGGCGGCATTCTTTTGGGGAGGAAATTGCTAACTTTAAGCTAAAATTAGGGTCTAAGAGGACATGTCCTAGAATTTTGCTGATAGACATAAATTGTGTTAAAATTTCCAACCAAGAGGAGGTGTAAATTTTTTGTTTTTTGCCACTTTCTTATGTATATCTTAAGATGTAATGAGATAAAATTGTTAGTTCATCAATTTATGAAAGTGAAGTTAGAAGGGAATTCGTCAATCTCTCTAATTTCCATGGTTTTATCATTTCCCTTGACAAAGAAGAAAAAAATAAAAATGTAACCAAATCAATGATTTAATTGGCAAATGCCATGACATATATGTATTGCACATGTATAGCCCTTTATAGCTTGTGTATTGCCCTCGTATCTTTTGTTTCATTTTTTTTTTCAAGTCTGTTGTAATAAATTTATAAGGGGAGTATGAAGTTTGTGTACTGCTACTGTATTATTGCTCGTGTATAACTACTGAATTGCTTCCATAGTAGGGAAATTGGGAAATTATGGGTGTAAGAATGTGATTTCATCAAGGACGTCACATCCTTTTAAAAAAAACATGTTATATACATTTGGTGTATATTGCATGTATATTGTCTGTATATTGCTTATTTATTGTTTGTCTATAACCCTTTATTGCCTTTTATTGTCATTGCATTGTATGTTTATTGCCAATTTATAGCTTGTGTCATTTTTTGAGAAAAAAAATTAACATAAACTCTTGTGGCTTGTAATGCATTTATATTGCCTTTGTATATGGCTTATATTGCTAAGGTATTGCCCCCATATATGGCTTGTATTGCCTATGTATTGTGCAAATAGGACTCTCAAACAAATTAATGCAAAAATTAGTAAAAACCAATTATTCAGTGGCAATAAGAACACAATAGGAGGTTATATAGTAGCAATACTAAAGCAATATGAGGCTATGCAGTAGTAATACAAAAACTGTAATAATCCATCTAATGCAGGAAATGTTGGGCAAAACACAATGTATATAATGTTCTCTCTTCAATGTATAATATAAGTAAAAATATTTTTTCCAAAAGCAAAATATCTAGGTCCAATCTTCATGAAAAATAAATAAATAAAAAAGAACCCAACAAAAGAGATGGTGAAACAAAAAAATTTTAGGTCCTCTTTGTTGTGCAACAACAATTTCATCAACAAATATGCAAGGGGCATTTTTCGTGGCCTTCTTAAAAAGATAGCAAACTCATGAAGCACCAACACCAACATCAACCAAAGGTTAAGTCAATAAGCCTAGCAATAACTCATAGGTAAGCCTAAATCTAAAACATTGAATGATGATGGCTGTCATACTACAATGCCTTTGTACACTCTTCCCGGTCATCAAAGAACTCTTTTTTCTCACCTTATAACTTATATGGTTTATGGCATCTACTGTCAACAACCTACAACAATGAAACATAATTTTAGAAAGAGAAACAAGGAAGGTTATAAGAATTTTAGAACAATTCTAGAGTGGACTGTGGAATGAACAAAGTAGTCTTGCAATTGGTGAACCCATTATCCAATTCCTCTACAAGCACAATCTAACTTTGAAAAAAGTGTTCTACATTGTACAGGAGTTAACTAAAGTAAGTGGTGAACATCAAGCACAATCTAACTTTGCACCATTTCACTTCGATTATTATCTTACTGGATATCAAGCGTTTGCTTCTTCTTAATCTCACCATTGCCGATTCAATATTATGGATGCAGAGAGCTCACTTAGTAGTTCATTATATCAATTTATGTAGTTCATTCAAAAATCACATCCCAAAACATAACAAAACAAATTCAGATCATAACAAATTCTTGAAGATGCAGAACACTTTCAAGTGGCCTGAATGTTGCTTTTTATTAGATCACACAATTCCTATAAAACCAAGAGACCATTGAACCAAATAATCAGCAAAAGAAAAACTTCAAAATCATTGTAGCCTGGACAAGCTTCAAGCTTCAAGCATAATATTCCTTACCACAAACAGAGAAATATTTGTTGCACAATCCCAAAATTTTGGTTCAACAAGTTTTTGTATAATCTTACTTAAATAACATTCTCTACACAAGCTAAAAAAATATTAATTTTAAAAAAAGAGATAAAATTTTAAATTAAACCCACAATTATGTTTCAACAAATTTCTGTACAATCTCACTCAAATTTGACTTGGAGGGACTTGAAGTGACATTAAGCACCAAAAATTCCAACCCATATATGAAATTGAAACAAGCCAAATAACAAATGGGTATGAAAGTAAAGCAGAAAAGTTGAGTACCTGAGATGCCATGGATTTTAGGAAAGCTGAGAAAAATTGAGAAATTTGTTGAATCAGAGGGGAAGAACAGCAGTCGAAAGAGGTGACAGAGAGTGAGAGATGGAGGTGGAGAAGGGCGGCCACAAGAGAGAGGGATGGGTTAGGGTTTCTAAGGAGGTGGCAATTGTCGTCATCATGGGTGGGAGTGAGAGAGAGAAGAAAAGATAGGAGATGGAAGATATAACTAAAAGGATATGGAGTTAGGTGAGATTCGTGGAGGTGGATTTTCTGTGAGGTTTGAAGAAGAGGAAGAGAAAGAGACTAGGGAGAAGAGAAAGAGGAAGAGCAACGACTGAGAAGAAACAAAAAGTGATAGATGGGCAATAGACTGTCAATAGGGAGTTTTTATAGGGGATATTTGTGATTAGATTTCAAAATGGGAATATTATTGAATAAATTAGTTGCACCGGGGTAAAACCGCCAATTTTCCAATAAAATAATAAGCGGCTTTAGCCTTCAATAATACTATTTTAATCAACTTCTAATAGTGGGGGCAACCTTTCTTTTTAAATCTTTTGGGACCCAAAACCACCCATACGGAATTACATATCTAATTTTTGAATCTTTTAATATATTGCAAAGTTTTTCATACCTTAGAAAAGCTTTTCAATGCATCATCTTCTACAGTAATAGTTCCTAAAGTTGGATTCCCACCCACCCACACAATGGCGGATCTAGTAAGGAGCCAGTGGAGGCACTAACCCCCACTCAATCTTGTTTTACAATTATGAAGGTGCCAAGTTTTCATGGTATTTTATATTGAATGAAGGCAAATTATTTGATAAAATGCCTCAAAGAAAGCTAAGGTAGGGCAAATGGGCAAATGAATTGTTGAGACTTGGGCTACATTATGCAAAGACTTCACGGATTGTTGGTAGGCTCCATTAGCCAATATAAGCTAAGACAGACTTTACAAGTTCTTGCCCTCAGGAAGGAAAATTTCTAAATTCGCCAGTCTATTAGTACGAGTCAAAATTTTATTGAACTTTCTAATCAAAAGATTGTACTTATTTTTAAGCTAGGCAACACTATTAGGGTAGTTCATCCTAGTATGAAGTTCATTTACGATAGTTTGGAAAAATGTTGTTGATCGGTTTCCCTTTGAAATCTCATCATCCATCAAATCAATAAAAATAGACTCAATGTTTTGAGGTCATGGTCCATCTTTCCGCTTCACATCAACTTCCACAACATGATCATCATCATTAACCACACAATCAGACCAAAACCAACAATAAATGAAAAGCAAGTCTTGATGTATGACCTCAAGTCCTACTCTTATAATTTAGGCAAAGAAAAAAAGTATAATAATTTTCGTCTTATTAGGAGGGTGTATTCAATTGAGATTTTCGTCTTGATGTATGACCTCAAGTCCTACACAATACATCATTTAATAAAATACTTCAAAATCGGTAAGTTTTTTAATACCACGGTATTTTGTCTTATCTTTTAAAAGTCCTAATCGAATACCACCAGACTTGTATTTATGATTTAAAAATCCTAATTGAATACCACTAGATTTTTATTGATTACTTTCAAATCCTAATTGAATACCACTGGATTTTTAAGCTTCAAAACAATCAATTAAAATCTCAATTGAATACACCCCCCTTAGAGCCTTGGTGCAAAATGCATGAGAAATTGAACATGTACGTGTGGTAAATATATGGAAGGGTGTAATTGTAAAAGTAAAAAACATATTTGGGCGCGAAAAAGGCGGTAGTATTTGGAAGCCGGAGACCCGTTTGACAGCAAGTTTGTTGGAGAGAGGGGATTTGTAAGATTGATGAGGTGGGTGAGCAAAATTCTGAATAGGGGGCAGGCATAGGCAAACAGGTAGAAATACCAGAGAGAGAGAGAGAGAGAGAGAGAGGGGAAGCCATTAGGCCCAGATGAATATCATGTGAAAGGGCATCCTCCTACAACCCACAGCTGTGTTTTTTAAATCTCGTTTCATTCGCTTACCCATCAGAAAAATGGTCTCATTTTGATGCGGGTATATGCGAATAAAAGGAGATTGTTGAAGAAATCTAAAAAGAAAAGGGAAAAAAATTGAATTGAAAATTTTATTATGAGTAGGAAAAAGAGCCAAGTTTGGGATGTTCCCTCCAATGGCATGGACGACGACACAGCCGTGGCTCCTCCTCCGAAGCCCAGCCCTGAAAAAGAAAGGCTCTACCTAGTCTGGCAGGGTAACAATGTATGATGTTATATGCTCATGATGATTATGGGTTATTTTCTTGTGGAGATCTTGTTTATGCAGAATGATTTGTTTCATGTTTTAAACCAATTGCTCCCTTTTTATGCCTGCCTTGGGGTTGCAGCTTGGTTTTTTGGATTAAGATAATAATTCATCATTTGGGCCTTTTTTTTTTTGGTGTGGATATAATTGTTACCCATTTTACAATTTTTTTGGTCTCATGAGTTTGTTTCTGTGGTTGTCAGAAGTACCATTAGGCTTAGGTATAGAATTGGAAGACTGTCTTCCTAATTCTGAATTGAAATATGATTCTCCAGAGGTGAAGTAAAACATACATCTTTGGGAAGTCTAGTTATCTGGGTTAATAGCTCATTCTGTTTAAATGTTGACATTAAATTGCAAAGGAGATGTTGAGTTGGTATGATATGTTGTTGTACTTGGAGTTTTTCACCCCTAGCATGCTTGGCATTCAAATTGAGCATAAAAAGGTTCCATGACTTTGTCCTTTGTATTTTGAGCAGTTCTTTGCTTCTTTTTTCTTCAAGGGAGCTTAACTCTGTCTTGACCCTTTTGTTTTTTCTGTCAGGCCTTAGAACATCTATGTAGGAATCAACTTCATGTACTTTTCTGTTGTTTTAGATGCTAATTTTGCATATTATTGTCAATCCAGTTGTTTGAGAAGCTTCAACCGATTAACGAGACGTAATTGATCTGTTGCCATTCAGTGAGAAATCAAGACAATTAATTGCATGGCGTGGGGGAGTTTATCAAGTTTATAAGTAGAGTGACCAAAGCACCTAACAATTTTAAAAAATAAAATAAAATTTGAAGAAATGATCTGAGAAGCACCTCATCAATTAGTATTTTCACTATCTGAGGGGTTTAAAAGTTGTTGAACTAAATTTTGGGGTTGAAGGTGCCACACTATCTTTGTAACAGATAGTCTCTTGTTTGTATATCATGCTTATGGAATTATATATAAGGCAGTTCTATCAATTTTTTTTATTGTGTGGATCAGTTGAGAAGATTAACTTTGTTTCTACCCATGTCCTGCATATAGAAAATTATAACAATTCATCTACCAAACAAATTTTCTGAAAAATAAGGGTGCTATGCATTTTAACCAAGTAATACGAACACATTTATTGTGTTCATGAATGTGTTTACCATCACTCATTCTTTTTCATTCAAAATCATCCATCTAAAGTTTGGTAATTTTGTACATCCATGTCAAAAGTGGCTAGAATAACAATTTCACATTTGATTATCATATGGACTGACACTAAAAACTTCTCTTCTTGACAGAAATTTTTGTGTGGTGGAAGAATAGTCTTTGGTCATGATGCTGCATCACTGTTTCTAACTAGCTTTTTGATTGGATGTCCTGCACTAACATTCTGCATAAGAATGCTTGTAACGATGAAAGGAGAACATGGACATTATGACTATCCTGTACTAACTGGGGGAATAATCCTCACTGTTTTGGTTGGTAAATTGAAATTCTTTTCCGTACAGTGGGAGCCTGCTTCACCAAATGAAAAACTTCAAACCTGACTTATATTGGCTCATGCAGGATTTCACTTTTCTGTACTTGACATCTGGTAGGGATCCTGGTATCATTCCAAGGAACTCTCGACCACCTGATTCTGATGAGGCATATGATATGTCTGGATCAATGGAGTGGGTCAATAACAAAGCCTCTAATTTGAGAATACCCCGAATAAAGGATGTACAGGTCAATGGCCATGTAGTGAAGGTAAAGTTTTGTGACACTTGTTTGCTATATCGTCCACCGCGTGCTTCTCATTGCTCGATCTGCAACAACTGTGTTCAGAAGTTTGATCACCACTGTCCATGGGTGGGTCAGTGTATTGGATTAGTAAGTTTCTTCCCCTGCCAACTATTAACTCTGCAATTTATGTTCCGGGTGTCTAAATGGAAATTGAATAAGGCTGCTAGTTTTCAAGTGGAGGTAATGAAACTTAGAAATTCTTCTGGTCAGTGTATTGCGTTATATTTGAAAATTTGTTGGATATTATGTCCCAAACTCTTCATTTGGCTTTGTCAATTGGTAAAAGTTGATATTCTCAGTTACTCGTGTTGAAGTGAATTATGTTCCTTGTTTTATAAGAAAAGTCTTTCTTTGCCTAAAAAGGTGTTGGTTTTTGTATAACTCTATGAATATTTAAGTTTAGCCAAAAATATGACAACGGGATAGATGTGACAGTAAACAAGAGTGAAGAAAACACCAGGAGTAGGAAGAAAAGTTTGTCTTATGGCTGGATACCAAGTAGCAATGTGATGTAGGACAACCTAAGGGGTCACAAAATGTATGAAACACTCAACCAGACTAATGTTCTTTCATTAAAATGGATACTTTGGTGACTAGCAAGCTATGTGTACCATAAGAAAAAGTAATGTGGCCGTGCGTTGGCTAAAATATGGAAGGTTTCAAACTCACAAAATACAATTCACCGATAGGATTCATTAGTTTCCTTAAGGAAAACTACCTAAAAGAGTTTGTTCCAATATAAAACAATTTGCACTCTTTCTAACCTACCTCTTTCATGTTCTTGTTCTTGCAGCGTAACTATCCATTTTTCATTTTGTTTATTTCGTCATCAACCTTCCTGTGCATATATGTCTTTGTCTTGTCTTGGATCAACATTCTTCGACAAGGTGGCAATCTATGGAGGGCCATGGGACATGACATCGTATCAGTTATTCTCATAGTATATTGCTTTGTAGCAGTATGGTTTGTTGGTGGGCTAACAGTTTTCCATATCTATCTAATTTGCACCAACCAGGTAGACCTCTTCGCTTTCTTATTATTATTATTTTTCCAAATCATTTATCAATAATGCAATTTCCTGTAGTCTGGTCACTTTCCTTCTCATATATAAAACTAAGATTATCTGTTAGTTGTCTGCACTGTATACTCAATACTGTATTGCAGACATCTATGTCTATATTAGAGAAGAATGATAAGGGAAATAATGATACATTCATTGTGCTATCTAGTGCCACCGTGCGTATTTGAGTTCACTTCATAAAATATGATTTAGATTATGCATGTTTTTAGACAGCCTACATAAGGAAAAAAATCCCTCCTTCACTGTGCTATCTAGTGCCACTGCTCTGCTGCAGTCTACTTTAACCTTTGATCTCAAAATCCTTAATTGAGATGGAAAACTACTGGTCAGGGTAACAAGAATAGATGTATTGTTCTTGGTTTCTTTTCTTCTTTGGGATTGATGATTCTCTTGCTTAATTTGGTAAGAAATGTATCTTTAATGCATTACCTGCCTTGAATTAACGTATAGCTATATACAGGAAGGGGGATAGCTACCTATGCATATATGTCATATAGGATATTGACATGACTTCTAGATTATCACAAAATCGATCACAGATCTGATAATTTAGGGGTACAGAATAACTAATACTCGCTAACCATTATCTCTAATATACTAAAAGGTTGGTTTGTTCTTGTTAGGCTACAATGTAACTCAAAAGCTTAAACTTGTGGTAGTAGTGGTAAACCAACAAAATTTGACATGGTATCAGAACTTTGGTTCTGAGAGGTCTTGGGTGCAGATATATGTTTCTCTATGTCCATAGTGATGCACCTGAGGGAGATGGGGGTTAACTTGGAAGACGTTGTTGGCTCATTCCTAAATAGCTTACACTTCTTCTTCTTTTTTTTTTTTTTTTTTTTTTTTTTTTGTATAGGGGATGTTAAGTTGATGTAAAATTTTGGCACATCCCTAACAACTTAAGTATTTGGGGCACAGTGTTATCTGTTAATTTTGTGCAGAATGAGTTGCGAATATATGTTTCTGTCTACCTCCGCACTTGATAATCCATACTATTTTTTGGATATGTTTTGCACATATAGTTGTTGCGTGCATATTTTTCATCTTGCATCTACATGATAACAAGATGGCTTATCTTTGTTTACATTGTTTAGCACGACTGTTATTTGAATTATTACTCAGTGTTTTATTCTGAATTTAGATTTTTTCATTCTGACCACTGCTTTGTCACAGACAACTTATGAGAATTTTCGTTACCGTTACGATAAGAATGAAAACCCATACACTAAGGGAGTACTGGGAAACTTGAAAGAAGTGTTCTGCTCAAGGATTCCACCTTCAATGGTCAACTTCCGAGCATGGGTTTCAAAAGACGATGACACAGTAATGGGATCCATCGCTTCAGAGAGTAACAGAGGCTTCATTGGCTCCAAAGAAAAATTTGACATGGAAAGGGGAAGTAAGTTTGGCAAGGATGGGAATATGATGGTTCCAAGTATTTTGCAGAAATTGGACTACAGTGGGATTGATGATAACATGAAGAAGAAGAATTTGGGTAGCAGTGATTTTGATGATAATTTAAAACGGAAGGCAGCAGATGAACCTGCATTAAATCCATTTATCTTTCCTATTGGTCAAGAACAAAGACGTTCACAGGGAAATTCTGGCATAGGAGTTAATTCTACTAATGATAAGAGGCCTCAGTAGTTCCAATTGGACAACATCACTGCTTGTTTTCTAAATAAAAAGACAAAAAGAAAAAGAAAAAAAAGAAGGTATTCTTTCTCTCAGTCTCTTTATACTTTGAATATGGATATTTAGCACTTTTTTCCATGAAGATATTAGCTAATGATATGTTGCCGGACATCATAGTAAAGTTTATTTTATCGCATCAATGACCTTTAATCTAGTTGCATGAATGTGAATTTGTTTTCGGTGACAAACTTCATATTGCAACAATGTAGGTGGGATGTCCTTTTCCCTAACAAGTTCCAAGTTAAGTATTTTATGACTTGTTAAGTATTTTATAGTTATCAAGGGGCGGCAACATGAATGCCAAAACTTTAAAGTTCGGAGCATCTCCTACAGTTTGGCACACTTTTCACTTTTTCAACTCCAATGAAACAACTTATGATCATGTTAATTTGAGTTTGAGATAAATAATTCCCAATCTCATATTTGAGATAATCTCATTTCACAAATAGCAAAAATAGAACTTCACCATTGGAGCAAGTTTGGCAATATCTCATTCCAAGCTATGAATTATAGAATTGGCAATGGCACCTCATACAGCACCTCCTAGCTACTAGAAGTTTTGAAACATTTGAAGTCAACAAGCCACTTTGGCTTCTACTTACCGTGGATCTGCAAACTGCAATGGCATTGTCTGTTTGAAAGCAAAAGTAGCAGTGGGAAATGGTTCCAGAAAACTGGTGTAGTTTAGATTTTGTGGAGAAGCTTCAGATATCATATCAGATATTAGCTTTTCTTTTTTGTTCTTTTTTCTTGGATAAAACAGGCTTTGGATTTTGCAAAATCACTTCATGTGTTTCTGGACTCTATTTTGCATGTTATGTTCTGCTATTAACTTGTTGAATTAAGAATTAATTTGCAACTCTTGCATAGTAATTGGTTGTCCTTACCTTGTCTTACTGTTTTTGCTCAGGTTTTGGTGCAGAAAACTTTTCTCAGTGCATGTATGCCATATGACAGATTGACTGAACATGATGGGGGCTTAAAAATGCTAATATACTGAGATTGGAGGTAGAATTTGAAGGTCAGTGATGTATTTTTAATGGAATGAAGAAAATGAAATTAATTCATTCTTCTGCACATAAGTGTTCAATCTCTCTCACCCCAACTCCTATTTTTATCCTACTTCATTACTGAATCTACAAAACTAGAAGAGCTGTGATATGGCACAAACAGGTGCAATAAATAATAGCTCGGTACATAATAAAAAAAAATAAAAAATGAAGGTGCTACATTAAAGAACAATTTTACAGGGTTGAGTTCTTTTCTTTCTTTAGCTTTTAGGAACTCATGTAATTTATCTTTTTTTTTTTCTCTGGGATTAGAGTATGGAGATTATGTGAGCTAATGGTATTTAATTAAAAATGGACCATGCAACTCAGGCTTTACGTTTCGTTCTATAATAGATACATATCCAAGACTGAAAAATACGGCTTATGCTATTGCTCCCACTTTTCTTTCTTTCCAGTTTTGCTATGAATTTATATCAAAGTTCAATTACTAGGTTCAATTACTAGGCCGACCTTACCACAAATAGGCCAGGTTTCAAACCCTGTCCAAGAACTAAAAGGCCCCATTCGGTAGGCTAGACTAGACTGTATTGAATTAACCCTTTTATATTACACTGGACTGTTTGGGATATGACTGGATTTTTAGCAATTGTTTGGTGCAGTACATCACCAAAGTTGAGATTAATCTGCACTGCCATTATTTCATTTTTATTTTTATTTTTATATTCTCATTCCCAAATTAATTTAACAAAATCAATTTTCAAGCCAACACAAAAAAAAAAACCGATTTTCAAACTTCAATAAGTATCCATAGCAGCTTGACTTCTTAATATGGAGGAGGAAATAGAGTAGTCTTTTTCCAACTTACAAAACAGAAAGATGAGCTTATAAGATTTCAAAATTTCCAATTCATAGTTGTAGGGGCTTTTTCGTTCCGGCGAGGGACTAGATATTCTACGAGAAACAGAGGTTTAAAGTAAAGGATTTCGTGAGAATCTGTTGAGGAAAGAGAGAGAGAGAGATTAGGGGTGGAAGAATGGGTGCTTTAGGTAATTTTCCTATAGCTTGACGAAAGCTTCGTCAGGCTCTGGAATGGCTTGCCAGAAGAGAAGATGGGAAGAGATGGAGGAATAGGGCTCAAAATTGAAGGGTTCCAAGGATGAAAGGTGATGCTTGCTCTCTTTGGATGTGTGTTTTTGGGAAAGAGATGAAGAAGATGGAAGAACAGAGCATGAAATTAGAACGAGCTTGAGTTTTGGTGCTCCAAGTAGCCCAAAACTTCCACACCTTGGACCATCAATGGGCCTCGTGAATACTCGTAACCATACATACCACAACCCGCTCAGCAAGCCCCAGGCATTTGTGTGGTTTGGGCCCACTTAAGCTTGTAGCGTGGTGTGTTGCTTATTTGCTTGGCGTGGCACGTGTGCAAGCGCATATGACGAACTCTTGCATACCAAAGTTGGGTTTCTTTCTAAGTTAGGTGTCGTACTGAGCTAGAAATATATTTGGGCCCAGCCTTGAATTTTTTGTGCCTCAACAATAGTTAACTCTTGTTGTGGAGTCAAATTTACATGCAGCATCAGCCCAAAGGGTGTGAGGACCCAATAGAATCTTTTAGCCCAACAATAATTGCAAAAAGACATTTTGGGTGCATTTTATGGGTATATTTTACTAATATGTTTGAAGGCTCTTCCAAAGAAAGCAAAAAGCTAATGTGTTGAAGTAAAATAATTCAATTTTTATTTAAGCACATGACCTTCAAAATCAATAGACCGGCTATTGTATGAATGGAAATTATTTCGTGTAAGTTTAGTTTGGGAATTTTAGTTATTATACGATTAATTCCCAAGAGATTTAATTTGTTAAGCATTTATCGAGAACAAAGAAGCTTTTGAACACACAAAAAATGGAGACATAACTCTTGTATCATTAGACATATTTGATAAAATCGGTTCATGTCTATGCAATCACTTAACAAACAAATTTAAAAAAGAAGAAAAAAAAACCAGTTGAATTATCACTAAAAGAAAAATAATAGTCTATAGATGACTAGACAAAAAGTCAAAGAATAATAATAGGTATGTAGGGGCTCTTTAAGGCCCGTTTGAGATTGCTTTTTTTCGTTAAAAACCTATTTTACTTTAAAGTTAAGTAGTTTAAGGTGTTTGGTAAAAGTAAAATATCCCTATTATTTTAAAAGTAGTGGCCTTTTGACACAAGCTTTTAAAAGAAGCAGAGATGAGCCTTTAATGAATTTTTTAATTCCAAAAATACCATCATTAATTTTTCAAAATGACACCACCTCCACCACCTCCATCACCACCTTCACCACCACCACATCCTCCTCCGCGACCACCACTACCACAACCACCACCTCTTCCTCTACCTCCAACACCGCCACCACTGCCTCCTCCTTAACCTTTGCTAGCTCCTCCTCAACCTCCACCACCTCCACAATCACCATCTCCTCCACTACCACTACCACAATAACCACCACCTCCACCTTCATCATCACCACCACCACCTTCACCTTCATCTCTTTCACTACCACCTCCTTCTCCACCACCACTACCACCACATGATTAGCACATAACACTTTTAACATCATGTCTATTTTAGTAATTATTCACAATTACAACAGTTTTATATTAAAATTTACCAAACGATTTTGACACTGCTTTTTGCATTAACAACACTTAACAAAAATTATTTACCAAACATGGAGTTGCTTTACTTTACAGCTAATTATTTATGAAGCATAGCAGAAACAACTCTTTAAAAAGGTGACAGCAATCCCAAACTAGCCCTAACTCTCTCACTCGAATGCCCACTAGTTCTCCTTACGAACCTCCTCTTCTTCCTCAAGCATGAAGTCATTTTTGATGTTAAAGGTCTCACGAATCTTTTCAAGTGTCTTTCCCTTGATCATGTCTACCATAGTCTGGCAAGTCAAACCCAGCAGGCTCGTGATGTTCAGATAGTTTGTAGTCAGTATTAGGTCCAATAGAGTGCTCTGGTCCACCTTCACGAAATCAGCGTCCCAATTGCCATCGACACCCTATTCATGGTGCTTATTGCAGTACTCGATCAACTTTGCTAAGGTGTTGCTGGTCACGTTCGAAAAAGGTATTGCACTGTCAACACAGTTGTCCTCCACCATGTGCTTGATGGTCTACAACTACATGGCCACATCCTCCTCCACCTCGAAGGTCTCACTGTCATCGCTCTTCAAGGTTATCTTCTTCATCTCGTCGGAGGCCATTGTCTCTTTGAATTATTAACTAAATCTTTAAGTTGAAAACTTGGGAGTGTTTTTATTTTCTGACTTTGGAAGTTGAAGGGTTGAGTGATTTGAGTTCCAAAGGTTGAGAGACTTGGCATGATTTTATAGCCTACTCGTAGCACATTGTCCATGTAAGATAAGGAGAGAAATATATATTTTTTTTCTCATATTAGGAAACATTTTCATATTAAGAAAAGGAAAGTCAATGATACCCTTGTAACAAAAAGGAAAGGGAAATTGATCAACAAAAAAAAAGTAAAGGGATTTTCTTTTTACTTTTTTACTTTTTCCTTTGCTATTTATTGTCATATATCCTTTTTCATGCAGCCTAATTTTATGCAACCATATTACTGGAAAAGATTTTGGTCGAAGATACTAGGGGCACCCTTTGCTACAATAAGGAGGAGATGACATCGATTGAAAAGAAAAAAAATAGCAAGAAAGGCATTCTGCCAAAGAGAGAAAGAATTCTCTCAAATTGTTCTTTGCTTTGTATAATTTTTTTTTCTTTTCAATCGTTGTGAGAGTGTGACGGGTGTATTTGGGATTTGGGTTTCTTGAGTGATAAACACTTTGTATACTCTATTTGATTATAGTGGATTACTCCATCGTTTACAAACTGGATGTAGGCATAGCCAAACCTGTATAAATCTTGGTGTTCTTGTTGATGTTGTTTTGTTTCTTTTATCTCATGTCAGTTGTTGTTTACTTTCATCCACTTACACTACTTGGTTGACTCTTCGGCACAACATATGGTATCAACGCTCTAGTTTTGACTGGGGTTTCTATTTGGAATTGGCGGTGCTATAGTACCCATGAACAGTACATGTGCTATAGTACTGTGAATAGTGTCGAGTGGATTTGATGGCTGGATATAAAGATGAAATTGTTAAGGAGAAGGAGTCGGCATCGTCTTCGTCGACACCTACATCCAGTAGACATCCAATCACTACTACGAGGTTAGAGGTTGATAAATGAAATGGATCTAGTAATTTTGACATGTGGCAATGTGAAGTTATGGATGTGTTATATCAACAAGAGTTGGATATTGTTCTAGAAGATAAACTTGAAGAAATTGATGATAAGGAGTGGAAGAGACTTAATCTTCATGCTTGTGGCTTTATTCGATTGTTTCTTGATAAGGAGTTGAAATACCCATATATAAAGGAAACTTCTTCAAAGGAGTTATGAAGGAAATTGGAGGAGAAGTACATAACCAATAGCGCAGAAAATTGGCTCTTCCTGAAGAAGCGACTCTTTCGATTTCAATTTCGTTAAGGTATTTCTATGCACGAACACCTCAATGATTATAATAAAATACTTGTTGATTTAGCAAACCTTCATGTGAAAATTCCTGATGAGGATAAGACACTATATTGGTTAAATTCACTACTTGATGATTATGATCATGTGACAACTACTTTGTTGTATGGAAAATTCGAAGGGAAACTTGATGAGGTGTCTGCGGCATTGGTGAATCATGAATGTCGTAAGAAGGAATTGAAGACTCAAAATTCACAAATCAAGGCACTTGTTGCAAGGGATCAAACAGAGGAAAGAAAATCTAGGAAGTAGGGAAAATCTCGATCGAAGTTGCGAGGGAAGTTTCCTGCTAAAGATGAATATGCCTTTTGTGGCCAAAAGGGTTACTGGAAGAAAGACTGCCCCAAATTGAAGAACAAAGAGAAGGAGAAAGTGGGTTATGAATCAAATTTTGCAAAATCTGGAGATGCTAATTTCGAGTTTGCCTTGGCTAGTTCATCTATTAATGGTCACTCGAAGGAGTGGATTTTGGATTCAGGTTGCACCTATCATATATGTCCTATTTGGGAATAGTTTTCTAGCTTCCAAAAGTTGGATGGTGGAGTTGTTTTGATGGGAAACAATAATGCATGCAAAATGCAAGGGATAAGCAAACTCTACTTGAAGATGCATGATGGAACAATTAGAGAATTGAGTGATGTTCGATATGTACCAGATATGAAGAAGAATCTTATCTCATTGGGCACATTGGAATCCAAGGGTCTTAAGATCACCATGGATAGTGGAGTTCTTAAAGCTGTGTACGGGACACGAGTGGTGATGAAAGGTATAAGACTGAATAACTTGTATTTCTTGTCGGGAAGTACAATTATTGGTAGATCAGTTGTCACCAAAGCTACTTACGCAGATATCACAGACACTACGAGGTTATGGCATATGCGTATTGGGCATGCTGGTGAAAAGGCGTTGCAAGGATTGGTGAAGCAAGGCTTATTAAAAGGTGTGAAGGCATGCAAATTGGAATTCTGTGAACACTGTGTGCTGGGTAAGCAAACGAGAGTGAAATTTGGCACTGCTATTCACCACACTAATGACATTCTAGATTATGTTCACACTGATGTTTGGGGACATTCTAAGAATGCATCTTGGGGAGGTAGCCATTATTTTGTCTCCTTTGTTAATGACTTCTCTAGAAGAGTATGGGTGTACACCATGAAGTGTAAAGATGAACTCTTGAAGATATTCCTGAAGTGGAAAAAGATGATTGAAACTCAAACCGATCGAAAGATCAAGACTCTCATATCAGACAATGGTGGCGAATACAAGTATGATCCTTTCTTGGAAGTTTGTCAAGATTAGGGTATTGTGAGGAACTTCACGGTTAGGAAGACACCGCAACATAATGGGGTAGCGAAGTGCATGAACCGTACTTTGCTTGAGAAAGTCTGGTTGTATATTGTCTAATACTGGTTTAGGCAAAGCATTTTGGGCTGAGAATTACCTATGCAAGTCATCTTATTAATTGGTTGCCTACTGCTGCAAATAAGGGGAAAACGCCCATGGAGGTATGGTCTAGTAAACCTTGTATTGATTATAAGTATTTACATACATTTGGTTGTCTTGCTTACTATCATGTCAGGGAAAGCAAGTTGGATCCAAGGGCAAAGAAGGCTCTGTTTATGGGCTTTAGTAATGGCACGAAGGGATACCGACTTTGGTGTCTAATTGAGAAGAAATTTGTTGTAAGCAGAGATGTAACTTTTGATGAGGCTGTTGTGGTTAGTCAGAACAAGCATGAAGGTGAAACTAAAGCAACCAAGACTAGGAGTAGTTTAAAGCAAGTTGAGTTACTAAAGACTCTAGTTGTTCTAGTGAGGTCTGACGTTACAGACACTAGTCCTATAGTTGATTCTGATGATGAGGACGAGGATGATGAAGAGGAGGCATCTACCTAAGAGCCTCCACAACAACAAGATTCTATTGCAACCAGGAGAACGAGAAGAAAAATTTAAAAGCCTGCTCAGTTTACTGATATTGTGGCATATGCACTTCCAGTCATTGAAGATGATATTCCATCCACCTTCAAAGAAGCGGTCAAAAGTTCAGAGAGTGTGGAATGGAAGAAATCTATGGATGAGGAGATGAAATCTCTTCATAAAAATGAGACTTGGAAGCTTGTTCAGTTTCCAAAGGGGAAGAAAGCAATTGGGTGTATGCCAAGAAGATGGAATCTTTGGAAAAAGGCAATGTAATATTCAAAGCCAAATTGGTAGCCAAAGGCGATGCTCAGAAGGAAGGCATTGACTACAATAAGGTATTTTATCTTGTAGTTGGCTCAACTTGATGTCAAAACGGCATTCTTACATGGTGATTTGGAGGAGGAGATTTATATGTCTCAGCTAGAAGGGTTTAGTGTTGTTGGAAAAGAAAATTGGGTTTGCAAATTGCAAAAATCATTGTATGGCTTGAAGCAGTCTCCAAGACAATGGTACAAGTGATTTGATAGGTATGATCAGGCAGAAGTACACAAAAAGTCACTATGACCATTGTGTATACTTTCGCAAACTACAAGATGGAACCTTCATTTATTTGCTTTTATATGTTGATGATATGCTTATAGCATGTAAGAGCACATTGGAGATTGAAAGGTTGAAGGATCAACTGAGTAATGAATTTGAGATAAGGGACTTGGGAGAAGCTTAGAAGATATTGGGTATCGAAATTGAAAGAGATAGAGCGAAGGACAAGATTAGTTTGTGTCAGAAGCAGTTTTTAAAAAAGGTACTACAACGTTTCGGGATGAATAAAGATTCAAAACCGGTTAGTACACCTCTTGCCCCTTATTTCAAACTTAGTGCTTCTATGTCTCCTAAAACTGATGAGAAGAGTCATTACATGGCTCAAATTCCATTTGTTGGTAGTTTGATGTATGCTACAGTGTGTACCAAGCTTGATATTTCACAAGTTATGAGTATCGTTAGTAGATATATGCATAATCTAGGAAAAGGGCATTGGCAAACTATGGATGTGGGTTTATTGTTTTAGCATGATAATTCTATTGCTCAATATGTTGTTGGATATGTAGATTTTGATTACACAGGTGAATTGGACAAGCATAGGTCCACTACTCTTGTTGGAGGTCTAGTATGTTGGAGATCGATTTTGAAATCTACAATTGCATTCTCGACTACTGAGGCAGAATACATGGCAGTAACAAAAGCTATAAAGGAAGCCAACTGGCTTCAAGGGTTGCTTGATGACTACTTAGGGGTTCAACAGGACCATGTGGATATTCATTGTGACAGTTAGAGTGCTATTTATATAGCAAAGAATCAAGTTCGTTATGCACAATTCCATTTTGTTCGTGGGATTATTGATGAGGGAGATATTCTTCTTGAGAAGATAGGGACCACCGACAATCCTGCGGATATGTTATCGAAGCCAATTTGGTTGCTCTAGTTTAAACATTGCTTAGACTTGATTAAAATTTGTAAAATTTGTTGATTGCTCCTTGGGGGATTGGGAGACGACCATTGGGAGTGTTACTATGAGAGTTTGTTACATTTTGAGCCAAGGTGGAGACTGTTGATTGTTGGCTCAAATGTGAGTAACAAAAGGTGGTGCTAATTCAAGCACACGTCAGCATGCATGGGTTGGTGGAGTCATTGTCTTCATTGGTTGCTGTATGTATTCTTCATTTGGTTGCTGCACGTAGGTCTCCATTGGCTGCCTTGGTTGTTGAACGGTAGGATTCCCCATGGCTATAAATTGGCAGCAAAAGGTTTCATTTGAAGTACCTCAACCGAGTGTGAGAAGAAGACAAAATAGCAAGAAAGGCATTCTGCCAGACGAGAGAATTCTTTCAATTGTTCTTTGCTTTGTATCATTTTTTTTTCTTTTCAATCGTTGTGAGAGTGTGTCTCGGTTGTATTTGGGATTTGGGTTTCTTAAGTGATAAACACTTTGTATACTCTCTTTGATTATAGTGGATTATTATGTCGTCTCCAAACTGAATGTAGGCATAGCTGAACCAGTATAAATCTTGGTGTTCTTGTTGGTGTTGTTTTGTTCCTTTTATCTCATGCTAGTTGTTGTTTACTTTCATCCACTTACACTGCTTGGTTGATGCTTCCGCACAATAGCCCAAGACCGAGAGGGATAGGAGGTTCGGGGCAGAGTGCCATCGAATTTAACGACGTGACGATTTGCAAGGAGAAGGCTGAGAAATGCTACAGGACAGTGTTTATAAACTGTACCATGGAAGCTCTTGTTTCCTCAGATGGGTGGATGCCTTGGACTGAGGATTTTGTTTTGAACACGGTTTTCTATGGGGAGTTTGGTTTCTGATTTGTCCAAGAGAGTGCCATTTAGTAGGAAGATCCCATCTGAGAATGTTAATACATATTATGTACATAATTTTATTCAGGGAAATGAGTGGATTCTTTTAACATGAAAAATTTGTAGGGATTTTCATACTCTTTATTAATAAAAACAAATATTAATTAGTGAGTGTACAAGGAACACATCAAATTGTCAAGTCCTTGTTGAGGTAGTAAGGGCAGATGTAATATCTTATATTGAGGAAGACATTTAGGATAAACTATTAAACCATTTTCTCCCTTCTAAAATTTTATTACACATGTATATTATCCTGAAATAGAATGTGTTGTTTCAATTTCAACATTAAGATGTAAGTTTTGCCAACGGGTCTAGCCCAATTGAAAAGAGCTTTGATTTGCAGACTAGTAGTGATCTCAGGTTTCCCTCATGACATCATAGTGTGTGGGAGTGAGAAACCCTCTCTTCTCTAGTTTAGATTATCACTTGTACTTCAAATAAAAGATTGAAGTTTTGAATTTCACTTTTGATGTTAGTTAGTTCAAATAGAGACACCTCAAAACCCTTAATAATTAAGTATTAGATTTCTAACAAGTTTACCTGTTATAGAGAGACATTTCCAAGAAGGGACAATTTGCCTCCACAAAAGTTAGGTATTATATATTAATTTAGAAATTTTTATACTCAAAGAAGTTGAGCTATGAAGGGCGACTCTTGTGTCTGAATGATAAATTTGAAGATTACTAGATGCTCAAAGAAAAATAAAAAATTTCCATGCATATGATAATGGATTGGCACGTAATTATTTCATTTGCAAATGTCTAGTAATCTGATTGCTCATTTTTTTTCCTTTCATTAGCGAATTGTTGACAGTGGAAGAATTCTTTGATTAAAAGTGAATTGTTCTTTGTCATGCCTTTCTGCAACTTGTTATGAGCTCTGTCTACTAGAGTGATCCAGCAGGTTATCTTTGGGAGAGAGCCTCAAGGGTATTAAGGGTTCATTTTGTTATTAAATGTATAGGCTGAAAATATTGTTTGTAAAGTAAGATCAGATGAAGCCATCGATTTCTCCTCCTCTAGAAAAAGAAAACAAATAGGTCTGATAAAAGTCAGACTATATTTTCTAGTCTCCTCTTGCAGTTAGTGGAATTATTTACAGGTTGAGGCCTAAACCGGATTAGGACTGATGTTTTAATGATCGGGAGCTTACCAAATAAGAACGGGTAGGAAGATATCATGAGGATTATGATAGGTAAAGAGTTCGATGACCTATCTTGCTCAAAATCCTGCCCAGGGTTTGTAGGCTTCATGTATTACACTCGAAATATTTACATGGGAAAAATTCATGAAATGGTTAGAAGTTCTGCTTTCTAAAGTCCATTGTTGAATTTCTGCTTTTTAAAGTCCATTGGGGAAGTTAAAAGTACTAGGACTAATGGCTGGTAGATTTGGTTTTGATGCAAATAGGTTGGTAGATTTGCTGAACCTAGTACTTTGTATGTATTGGATGACTTTTTTTCCGTTTTGTAACAAAGAAAAAGAAATATCTCAATTAAAAAAGCTACAGCTAAGTGAATGCGGGCGAAATTTTTTGTGCGTCCAGTGTTTTCCGTTCGCTAGAAACTACCTTCTACAGTGGTTTCCAGGTCGTTGTCCGATCTCCTTGGTTCTAGAGAGCTTCTAAATCTCCTAGTATGTTCTTGAAGGATTATCGATTAACAAAGCCGAGTCGCGCCGAATTCGGTAGTCAAAATGCATTCTTCTCCGATGTAATTCCAGCTCCGATGGTGGCTCATGATTTGAATTCAAGTCAGAATCTAAACTCTGTGATAGATACCATGGGAATTTTAGGTGTGCAATCTATGATTGATTGTGCGAGTTTTACGGATAAACACATGAATAAGGTGAATCTGGTGAAAAATATTGGCATTGATGTTCATAGTTTGGATACTAATTATGATGAGCTGAACGATGATGAGGATGTAATGATTTCTAGAGGGGATAGGGGACCCAATATTTAGTTTTCTAAGAAGGCTATGTCTCGGTTCTACCAACCTTGGAAAAATTCCTTGAGAGTTAAGCTCCTGGGTCGTTCTCATACTTACAATTACCTCCATGATAGGTTACAACAAAAATGGAGTTTGAAAGGAGGCTAGAAACTCATGGATTTGGTGAATGATTACTTCGTTGTTAAGTTTGAGCTTGAGGAAGATCTGGAGTTTTTCTAACCAGAGGGCCTTGGATAATTGTGGGACAATATTTGGTGTTGCAGAAATGGAGGCCTGAGTTTTGTCATGCTGCTGCTCATATTACTTGAATGGCTGCGTGGATTCGTGTTTCGGCAATCCAATTGGAGTGCTTTAATGTGTGGACATTGAAGTGAATTGGAAACTTGTTGGGTGAGCTTTTAAAGATTGATGCTCTAACTACGTCTAAGAATTGGGGCAAGTTTACAAGGTTGTGCGTTGAACTGGATCTTACAAAGCCTCTTGAAGCTTTTGTCCAAATTAATTAGGAATGGTATAATATTGAGTATGAAGGCCTACGTGATATTTGTTACTTGTGTGGGCGGTATGGTCACAAGAAAAAGCATTGTGAGAAGAGGAATTCTGTTCCTGCTGCTGTGCTTGAGGAGGGACAAAGTTCAGTTGTTGAAGATGTCCTAGGAGGTGATGTTGTTATGAATAGTGAAGACCCCTTGGAAAACTTACGAGGCCCTTGGTGAATGTTCCAGCAAGGAGAAGGTCTAAAGCAATGCATAAGGATCAGGGAGGTAGAAATAATGGGGTTAGAACTAAGAGCTCAAGATTTGATGCTCTACATGGTGTAAGTGAAAATTTTGGCCAAGATGAGTTGGTTGTTAATGGTGTTGCTGGCAAAGTTTTTATGGGAAAGGTGAACCATTACAAGAGATGAAGGCTTGGGTAAGAAAGTGTGGACCAAATCGAAGGCTGTTAAGCCTGGTGTTCAAGCCGCTTTGAATGATATTTCTAATATGCCTCAACAAGATAAAAAGCAGTTGACGAATACTATCCCAAAGGAGGGAGCATCTAAAAGCACGGGTTTTGGGGATTTAATTGCTAGAGGCAAGATAGTAATTGGTGGGAAAAGGGTAGAGAGTTCACATTCTTTGCCGGATAAAGTTGCTAATTGGGTCAGTTCCAAGGATGTGCGAAGTGGGAGGGGATTTATATAATTGGGCATCAACCACCAAATATAGTTAATAGTGAGAGTGTCCAGGAGGATGGAGGTGGGATTATAAGTGATGCAGATTTTATTGGTTCTTCTAATCATAAAAGTGTGCCAAAGGAGGAAGGTGTTCTTTTGCTTGCGGAAATGGATATTTCTGAAGGACAAGTAAGATCTCCTAATGGGAAGTTGCTTGATAATACCTTCACTAATACTAAAGGTATGAATTTTGGTTTTTAAGGGTTTAGACCTTAGGTTTTTGTTTCTTGTTATTGGTTTTTATGGATATTATTTGCTGGAATGTGAGAGGTGCTGCTTGCACCAAATTTCAAGCTCATGTGATGGAGTTGATCCACATTCATCAAATGGATAGTTTTTTTTTTGTGAGCCTAGAATTAGTGGCCAAAATGCTATATATATGGTGCAATCTTTGGGGTGTTCTCTTGCTTTGAAATTGTGGATCCCGTGAGATTTTCAAGTGGCTTATGGTTGCTTTGGCATGGTGATTGAGTCAAAATAGAGGTTCTTGACTATGGATCAAGCCATTACAGCTTGTGTTTCATGGCCTGGTCAAGTTCCTTGGATGTTGAGTGTTGTTTATGCTAAGCCTTGTAGTTGCAAGAGGGAGAAACTATGGGATTATTTGAACTTTGTTGCTAGCTGCCACAAAATGCTTTGGTTGATTGCTAGGGATTTCAATGAGATGTTGCAAGTTGAAGATAAGCTTGGAGGTGGTTTGTCTTGGAGATTTAAGTGATTCAAGAGATGGTTTTTTTAGTAATGAGATGGTGGATTTGGGTTTTTCTGGCCCTAAATTCACTTGGACCAATGGGAGAGTGAGTGAAAGATTTGATTGGGCGGTTTGTAATATGGAGTGGAGATATTCTTTGCTGAGGCTAATGTTAATCGTTTGCCTTGTTGAAGAAAAATATGAACCTCCTAACATAATTTCACCACCATTAATTAAATAATGAGGTTTTATTATTTTAGGTTCAACCCATTTGAGACGTGGTGCCTCTTAATTACAATCCCTTACTTGAAGGGAAACACCCTATGATTCCATCATAAAGAAGCAGAATGTGTGAGTTTAGTTTTGCGGCTTCTCCTAAGTCGAACCTCAGGGTGCCTACATATCCCTTACGAGAATCAAGCCACTCGTCGTTCAATGAATTGCAATGAATAAACGACTCATTGCGAAAAGGGGAATTTGAATGAATTTGATTGAAAAATTGTTTGAGCGAATTTAGCTGAATAAACCAAGGATTCGATTTTGATATGAGTTTTGGGGAGAATTTTTTTTAAGAATAAACCAGGAATTCTGTTTAGATTTGAGATTTGGGGGAATTTGGTTGATGTAACCAGTAATTCACATTTGGTTACGGTTGCGTCTATTGGAATGCTAGACTGCCTATGTACCCTTAATGGGATCAAATTGATGTAGTTCCAAAATTTGAAAATTAATGGGTAAGTGTGGCCCAATAATTTACAATTTGTGTCTTTGAGACAATTTGAAGATTTTCATAGATAGATGACCCATGGGAGAAATTAGAAATTAATGGGTATGTGTGGCCCACTAATTGAGAATTTGTGTTTGAGAAATTTGAATTTAATCTCATTGAAATTTGCATGGGTAGATGACCCATGGGAAAAATTGGATGGTTTTGTACCATTTTTCTTATTGTCAATGTCCAAGAAAAATAATGAGCAATTTTGATGGACCTACTAATTTTCTACAATTGACATTAGCATTTAGACCCCAAATATGGCTTTGAGGATTCTAAAATTGATCCATTAACCATATAATAGGAAACTTGGGCCTTTGTAAATTTAATGGGTGTTTATTTGATCACCCATTAAATATTTTGAGTTTTTGAGAATTAATGGGTATACAACCCAATAATCTATCTACAGGCCCTTTAATATATATATATTTTTTATCTGTTGGCCCATGATTGGTCATCAGCACAAAGCTCATCTGAATCACAATTGAATTAGGGCTATAGAGATTGAGACCGTGAAGAAATTGTAGTTTTAACAGACTTAGGGAAGAATTACACCACTGGCAAGAATTCCCCTCTATTTAGAATGCCAGACTGACTATGGTGCCAGACTGACTATGGCTCACCTTCATACCACCAATTTTCCATTGCCTCATTGTCAGACTTTCTTGGAAAATATCCAAAAGGTATGACTTTTCTCTTTGTAGGCCACAGTTTCTTCCATCAAAGTACAACCCCATTAATTGAAAATCAGGCCTAGAGAATCAAAGAGGCACCTACCTCCTCTTTTCCCCTTTCACGCTCTTTTAAATTTTTTTTTTGTTATATGCAATCAGCAAAAGTAGTACAAACCATTCCAATCCTTTTTCATTTGTTGCCTTCTCTCTCTCTCTCTCTCTCTCTCTCTCTCTCTCTCTCTTTGCGCAAACTTTCATTCCTTCTTTTTTCCTTTTTTTTTGTGGTCGTCTTCGTTTTTTTTTGTTGCTTCTATATGCAAACAACACCAATCCAAGCCATCTAAACGTGGCTGTCTTTCATCTTTTTTTTTCTTTGTCTATTGGTTCTGTATGCACCAACAAGCATGGGATAAAAAGATTATCCAAGAGAGAGAGGGATTGTGACATTACAACATGGCTTCTGTAACACCCGACGCTATTTTAATTATTTAATTTAATGAATTGTACCATTGCATAGAACACGTCGATACGAGTTCGTAGACATGTAATGGACTCAAATTGGAGTTGTAACGAAGAAGTTACAATCAATGGAAGTGCAGTGGTACCACCATAAATATTTCGAAGTCTAGTGTTTAAAAATCAGATTTTCTTTCTTTTCTCTCTGTCTCTCTCTCTCTCTCTCTCTCTCTCTCTCTGTCTCTCTCTCTCTCCCTCCTTTCATTTCAGCCCGCCACAATTTGTCTGGCCACTGCCACATCTGACCATCAAATTTGGCGGGATTGGTCCCAAAATGTCAACCTCAACCTCCTCTCTCCAACCCACCTCACCTTCGACGAAACCTGCCACCACAACCACCGAAAAACGCAAAAAACAGGCTGAATTTTACTCAAACATTCCGACCACCAAATTTTTCAATCCAGGTATGCTTTCTCAGCCTTTCAACATGAGTTAGCTGATGGTTGGGTTGGTTAGGATCGATATTGAAGTTTTGAGGATCGATTTACGAATTAAATTTTGGCTGATTTTTGCCTCAAGTTTCCGGCAAGTTCTAGTCACTTTTTGGCCATGGTCCAAACAAAAGTTGCTCCACTCGTTGTCATGATCACGTAGGTATAGGTATTGTTGGATGTTTTGAGAATTTTCCAGTTGCAGGAATTTCTTAAGAGACCAATGCGTTGCCAGTTCGTGTGGCGCCGCGTGGGCCATGTTTGGGTGGCCCATTTGGTCTAAACTAATTCCCATGTCATCCCGAGTACGACGGTATTCTCGAATTTGACTGTGGATCGAATTTACGCATCTTAGGCGTTATCCGGGTTCGATATGTTTGGACCATTGTATCAAGTCCATTTCTAGATATATTGATCTAGGTACCTCGAGGATTGTGTAGTAATTCACGGAACGAGAATCAGAGTCCCGGAGGCTCCAATTCAATGATTCAAAAATTTGGTAAAATAGAGATCATCCGATCATGCGATCGCGAGCGATCCAACCTCTCGATTTGGACCAAACTCGCAGGATGTATTTACTAAACTTTGTTGACCCTTAGGAACTTTCAGATTGGAAATCGGAGGTTGTGGGTCCCGTAGGCCCCGTTGACCAAAAATGGAAAGTTTGTCCAAACCATTGACCACAGGTCTTTTGAGATCGTCCCATCTTTTGGAATGGATTTCAAGTTCGAATCCCCAAATCTTCATTATTAAACTAGGAAGAAAGAATTTAAAGTCCCTTAATGCAAGATGTATTTGTGCCTTTTGATATGCTAGGAAAAGTTGAGTATATATTGACAAACAATGTGTTTAAGCAAAATGTGAATAAGATGGAACAAAAAGTAGGTGGCGAGAGGCTCACTGAAATTTTATGATAAACTAGAAAGAAAGAGATTTCTATGAATTAGCTTGAACGCATTGGGGATTTATTTACGTAGCTCTTAGTTTAGGGGTATGCGGTTGGAAGATATGATTATGGGATTTCCAGGGATTACTTTTGTTATTATTATTATTATTATTATTATTATTATTATTATTATTATTATTATTATTATTATTATTATCATTGTTGTTATCATTAATATTATTATTATCACTTTATTTTGAGGATTGTTGTTATAATTGACTCATGGCTTGATAGAGTGGTTGGTGTCAGTAAGGATCAAATTCAATGTCGATTATATGTTTACACTCAAATATATGTCTATGTGTTTGGGTTGTGGGTACATTGGATATCTATGCTGCTTTTAAAAAGGGTGTCTTGGAAAGTGAATAATAGGGGTTATGAATGTTGGTTTGCTGAGTGGTATGTTATTTGTATGTGGAAATTGAGTTGTGAACAGATGTTGAAAGTTATGGGTGATCTAATTCAAACTAGTGAATTTTTTAGGATGGAAGACGTGATTATGGGAATTTCGAGAATGCGTATTATTATTACTATTATTAGTGGTGCTATTAATATTATTTATAAAGGGTTGTGATGACTTTGGTTATGTTATAGATTTTGGTTTTAGTGCATTAGTTTATGTGGTTATCGGACTTTGACTTGCAATATCTTTGAGAATGTCGGAAGTAGTATGTATATATTGATGGGCTATGGTTTTGGAAAATTTAAATATGGTGTTTTGGATTTTATTATCTTGGCTTGTGGGATTTTCAAAGGTAATATATTTCCTAAGTATATGAATAGTGATTTGAATATTAATTAAATCGAATGGATTTATTTAGTTTCAATGTTTTTCTTAATTATGGTTTTAATATGATTTTCAAAAAGGAATGAAACGATTTGTTTTGGAAATTGGATTTTGAAAGTATTATCTTTATTATATATTAGTTTATGAAAGTGGATTTTGGATCATGACAATGACACGCCATCTCATGTAACCCCCCTTGGATATTGATATTGGAATTGATGGATAATAGATACTTGGAAACTATGGTTATGGTTTGGATATGATCGGAACCCGGGCACCCTTGACGGGGTGTTTCGTAGACCCTAAGCGAGATAGTCTGCGTGCGTAGGACTTGTCACAGATGCACGAGTATTGAGGATTTTGTTGTGCGTGCTGGGAGCCTAGTCCCCGGTTGGACGGCTCGTCCCTAGCCACATGGTTGTTGAAGATTCCTCTGTGTGGTTCAGCCCAATGATCCCCGGTTGAATTGTTTCCCCTCCCTAGCACTTCGATACTTGGATATGGATACTCAGATGGGGAGACATCCATATGTCGGAACCGGGCACTCTTGATGGGGTGTTTTGTAGACCCTTAACGGGGTAATAGATGCGCGTAGGACTTGTCACAAGCGCACGAGTATTGAGGATAATGCTATGCGTGCTGGGAGCCCCATCCCCAGTTGGACAGCTCATCCCCGGCCACATGGTTGTTGAGGATTTCTGCATGTGGTCTAGTCAAAATTGTTTTCCCCTGGTACATGACGATGGTGTGAGGTGTGTGTGTATATATGTACATACATATTATATATATATGTGGATTATTTTTCGAGTTGAGATTCTTGGATTTGTGCTTCATGAGTACTCTATATAGGTATGAATGTTTAATTCATGGTTTGGACAGTGTTGTTCGACAACATACACCTTGGATAGGGTATGGTTGTGGGGATGAACTAATATAAGGAAAGGAACTTATAAAGTGTTTAGCGTGTGCCTTTTTGGATTTGAAGTTGTAGATGAATCTAAATTTAATTGTTGGTTTTACTTTAAATAATCGTATATCAACTGAAATCATGATTGTCGATAGAAGAACTATGTGTGGCTTGATCCCTCACCAAGGGGTACGTAGGTAGCCTGGGGTTTCACCTAGGTGCAGCCATGACTTCAACTGTTACTTTTGTTATGTTTGATTTAAAAATGTTAGGGAGTTTGAAGCGTAGTCGAGGTGAGATTAAATGCTTGGTTATATTTCAGTTTTACTAAATAGTTGTGGTTAAAATGTGTTTGTGGTCATCACGAGTCTAAAACCCATTTGGATGGATGATTGATCCTGGTCTGAGTCATTAGAACTACTTGTGATTGTATACGAATGGTTTGATTACATGCTTTGATATCTTTTTCCAAACAGGGCAAGTATATGGAAACTTTGTTTTAATTCTCTCACGATTTTCTATTGTGCGCCCTGAACTTTTGTAGGGGATTTCTATTTGTTTAATTTATGTTGAACTTCATTTCGGTTGTAAACTAGAGTCTTCCTTAGAATTGTGCTGTTATCGCTTGTGTAGGGTTGGATTTAAGGCCGGAGGCCTATTATGTGAACTGTGTGCTTTTACATTGTGCACGATGAAGTTTGGGAATCTTAAATTGTGTTTTAATAGGTTGTAAAATTTGGGAATGTTCGTTTATCAGTGAAGACTCTGCGGAAATTTTGGTAGAATGTCTCGAACTACTTCTCCTTTGATTTGGAGAAGAGGTTTTGATTAGTAAGTGGGCCCGGCATCAGATTGATGTCAAAAATATTACAGGATTCGTTGCTGATTCCTAGGAATTCAGGCCGGGTCCTGTCAGCTTCCCTTTCTTGCAGACCTTCATCTTTTTTTATGTTGCCTATTCTTTTCTTCATGACTAAACACCCTTTTCATTTTTGATACAGTGTGCTCAGAGAGAAAAAGAAAAGCTTTCTCAAGTAGAGATGGAGAGAATTGGTCAGAGAGTCCAAGATGTAATAATACACGTTCCTTTTGCACATTTTGGAATTCACTTCCCAGAACACCATTTTTCCTTCCATGGATTCCCTTTTGCTCAGCAGAACTTTATTGAACGGGAATCATCTCATGGATTTGCTATCCATATATGTGATTTAAGGGTTGCCACCCATCATGGATTTATCATCCAAGAATTTGATTTGAGGGTTGCCACCCAATATGGATTTATCATCCAAGAAATTGCTATAAGGTTTGCCACCCAACATGGATTAATGGAAATGACAATATACCTGTGAAAATTTTCTTTTGTCTCTGTGCTCTAAAAATTTTTCTCCAGCAACCCATTTTTTCTTTCGTCTCTTCTCTTTTTTTTTCTTTGCTGCTGTCTTTTTTATAGGCTAGAGACCTCTTTAGTGTAGGATGCTTCATTCAAATATTGAATAATTAGCTCCACAAAAATAGGAGCCACCAACCTCTCTTAAGAGTTTTCATTGGTTGGTTAGACTCCCATCTTTTTGAACTCTTTTCCTATACATGGTTTATCAAGTTGTGCTTTATCTCTGCCCTCAATTTGAGGCTTGTTGGATGTGGCACATAATGGGTATGAGAGTTGTGGGACTTATCCAATCCCACGTTTGAAACTTTTTTTGTGAATTTTTGTGTTTCAACAGATGCCCCCTCAAGCTTTGTGCATGTGATGCTTTTACGCATGCAAAGCTTGAGATTCTTTTAACAAGCATTATAAGCTAACATCTTTTTTGTTTTTTTACACCTTTGATTTCAGGTTATGGAAATCATCACAAGGAGCATGCTTTTGATGAATATGGTAAGGCCATCGCCTTTGGCCCCCAGTACATGAGATCTTGTCCTCTAAATTCAATCAGGTTTATAGTGCTTTCTGAGAGTCGAAAAACTTGGTTCACCACAGATCACGTGAATAGTGGACATCCCACATGAAGAAGACAGAGTTATTCAAATTTCCCAAGCAAAGGGCCCGCACTTTCTAGCTCACTCTTTGATGAAAGTAAACAATGAGATAGAAGGAGATAAGCAGTGTCTTCCCAGTGATGAATTTTATCCTATTATGCACAGTATGCTTTGCAACAAAATTTCATCGGAAAGCAACTTTAAATTTTTAGGTTGAGCTAACTTTCGAGCATTTGTACTGGAGTGGGCGGAGTCTATTTTGAATGACTTCGATGATGTCCTTCGGCAAGCTGATATATATGGGGCTGTTGTCATTTCTCGGTACTCTTATGATTTTCACCCTAATGTTTCGAGAGCATTCTACGAATTATGGGGGCCTTTATCGAACACATTCCATCATGGGAACGGTGAAATGGGCATTTCCTTATATCCTTCAACTGTTGGTGAACTTTTGAGAATCCATTCTCAACTATGCATTTTCCATAAGAAAGAGCAAGTTTTCCACGACCAATGGAGTCATCATTTCTTTCAAGGGGAAGCCATATATGGTGTTGTTGGGAATAGCAACAACATAATTCCCAAACATAAAGCCAAAGACCTCAAATTTCCCTTGAACATTTCATGTGAAGGACAATTGGCCGCTTTCTTAGCGTTTTGGCATAGCCTTTTTGTCTTGCCCCTTGATAATGCTATAAGGCTAGAATGTTTCTATATGGCAAGTTTGATGGCGCGAGGGTTTAGAGTTTCACTTGCTCCAGCAGTGTTGGGACTAATTTGTCATGTCCTCAGTATAGTTGCTACTCATCGTAGAGGTCCTGGTTTAGCAAATGCATATATTCCCATTCATTATATGCTTGGCTGGTTAAGGGGAGCATTTTCCTGATCTAATTGATCGTCGATGTGATAATGACTTTCCAGCACATTACCCTCTTCTAACAAGGTATAATATTGAAGCCAAATATGTCAGCTCCAATAAAGCTAGAATCATCTTCAGGAGTGAGTTTATGGTTTATCGCCCCAGTGTCTTCCTTGCATATGAAGACTGCATCCTTTTAGACATGGAGAGTCTTGCAAACGATGCCTTTGAGTTCTTGATTTGCATGCACTCTGCACTGCTTCCCGTAAGGGTAGGTGATGATCTTTGGTTGGAGCCTTACTACCTAAACATATTTGCTCGCCAGTTTGGTTTTGATTAAGGAGTATCGGCGAACAAGCTTCTATTTAGTGTCTGTTAGAGGCAGCGATGTGGGATTGAGAACTTGGCGAGAGCCCAAGCAGTCCTCCTACACAAATATACCACAACACGCTTCTATATTCCGCGTTCCACCCGCATTGGATCATGCTCTTGGTGGTAATGTAGATGATGGATGGCTACATGTGCACCTTACATGGGCTTTTCTATGTCAAAAATTTTCTCAGTGGTAGATAGGCACATCCCAAGGAAGGACCACATCTTTGTGATTTTTAATTTGAAAAGTATCTTGACATACATGAGCAAAAGAGGCTTCAATTCATCTTCATCTCCTCGTGGTGCTTCTTTGAGCAGAGGACATAAGAAAAGAATTTGTAGTGCTAGAAGGAAACACTACTCTGGGGATAATCACGTGATGCACCACTCCCTAAGGGTTAATCGAGACTCACACCTCAAACGACATTCCAAGAGTGGTGCCTATATTGAAGCTTTAGGAGATGTGAATGTTGATTTGATTCACGATTTGATCCCTCAGCACGAGGAATGTTTGAACACCAAGCTGGCTATTGAGACACAACTTACAGATATTGCTAAAGAGATTGACAACTTGGATGTCAAAGATGCTATCATCAAAGAAGCACAAGAGAGAGTTCATCAGATGCGGGAAGAGCATGAAGCTAAGAAAACATCCTTTAATATGCAAAAGATGAACTTGGAAGTTTCTTCGGAGCATCAAAATCAACAAGTAGCACAGCTTCAAGAATCCAGAATTGATGCTAAAGAAAATCTACTTCCCCAGATCGGGACCACTCGACGGTCATTGAAGGCTCAAAAGCAAGAAATTCACCATCTAATCAATTCTATATTTTCTTCTTGTAGCAAGCTCTAAAAGATGAGCTTATTATTATTATTTTTGTTTAGCATGCTTTTTTCCTTCAATAAGCATTCTTGTAATGTGGTTCATCCACCAAGAATTCATAGGTATGCCTTTGTTTAAGCATTCTTTGCTCTTGTAATGTGGTTTTTTCACCAAGAACAATTTTCAGAATAAATATTTCATAGGATTTTGCTTTCCTATTTCACAGTTTATACTCATGTGAAGTTGGAGTTGTTGCATAGTACACAACAGTTTAACCATGTGCTAACACCATCGGTGGACAAGAATGAATTTGTGATAATTTACGGTTGCGTCTAACTTTTGGGCTAGCTTGCCTACCTACCTTGTGAACGGATCAAGCCGAACATACTTCACCCTTCTTGAATTGAGGTAATAAAGGGGGATTTTGGGATTTGTGACTGAATCTAGCTTTTTAGGGACTAGACTAGCTACGTACCCCTTTTGAGGGATCAAGTCAACCGTATTTCTTTGCTTAGGCCGCCCTTTTGGGTTTTCATCCCACAAAGATTTTTTTTCCCCCTCTAATTTTTGCATGGACCGCCCTTTCAGATTTTCAGCCAAACGAGCATTTTTATCTACCCTAAATTTTGCTTGAATTGCCCTTTTGGGTTTTCAGTCCAATGGGTATGTTTTTTATTTTTTATTTTTTTATAGCTCTAATTTTTACCTGGACCGCCCTTTTCGGGTTTTCAGCCCAACGAGTATTTTTCTAATTGTCGAAGTTTGACAACTCGTAGGCACCCTTGGAGAAAACTTAGTAATGATGTAGGGACCCTCCCACTTGGGTTCAAACTTACCACGCATTTTCCTGGTAATGAAAAAGGGTCTTCGGACAGTTAACACCAAATCTCCAATTGAGAAAGATCTGAACTTAACTTTTCTGTTGAAAGCCCATGCAACCTAAGCTTGATATATTTCAAGCCTTTGTTGAGCTGCCAGTCTTTTCTCATCTAGAGCTTCCAGTTCCGCTAGTCTCACATTTACATTTTCGTCGGAGTTTTGTTAGTTGTAAAGCTACCCCTAACTATGGCAATTGGACTTCTAATGATAGAACAGCCTTGGAGCCAAACACCAAATTGTATGGTGTACATCCTGTGGAGTTGCGTTTTGGTTGTCCTATAAGCCCATAATGCATCAGGTCGTGCCAATCTCTTTTGTTTCCTGAGACCATCTTCTTCAGGATATTGCATAATATCTTATTAAAAGCTTCAGCTTGACCGTTTGACAACGGATTGTAACTTGAGGAAAACGAGTGTTGAAGCCTATATTTCTCGCACAACTTGGTCATGGACTTGCACTGTCGGATATTATCTTCGATGGAACCTTATAACGGTAGATGATGTGGTTCCTTATGAAGTTTGTAACATCGTCTGCTCCTACCTCATTTAAAGGAATTGCTTCAGCCCATTTAGAGAAGTAATTGGTCGCAGCCAAGATGTATTGATGTTGACATGTGAGAAATGCAACCAAATTAGCTAATGCATTAACTTTATCATTTTCTGACCTTGGGATGAGACTAACATGAATGTCTTAAAACTGTAACATGAGAAATTTTTCCTTTTAATGGTATGGGACGAGAGTAGCATTTCTAACGGCGTATTGGTCATTCAACTGTCTGATGACTAACTATGAATCACCACATGCTTGCAAACAATCAATATGCATCTCGAGAGCAATTTCAAGGCCAATGATGAGTGCCTCGTATTCTGCCACATTATTTGAACACAAAGCTAGTAGAGAAAATGAGTATAGGATTAAGCGCCTAGACGACATGATGAACATTAATCTTGCCCCAGCTCCTTTTTTCTTCCAGCCCCATCAAAATATAATTGCCATGTAAGTGCTTCTGTTGTGAATACCTCTTCTTCTGGCAAATGAGCAGGTAACTCCATGTTGTCGGGAGTAGGACGAGCAACCAAGAAATTAGCAAGAGCTTGCCCTTTGATAGCCTTTTGTGGCACAAATTTTATTTCAAACTCAAAAAAGAGAACTGACCAGTTAGCTATTCGCCCAAAGAGCACAGGCTTGGACATTAAATATCGGAACAGATCTACCTTGAAAATCAAAATGACTCTATGAGCGAGTATGTAGTGTGATAATTTCTGGACAACAAACACCAATGCGAGGCAAACCTTCTCGATGGGGGTGTAATTTTGTTTTGCCCCCACGAGTGTTCTATTCAAGTAATAGAGTGTATTTTCTTTTCCATCCTCATTGTGTTGGGGAGGCAATGCCCCCAACGCGTTATAATGCCGCAATGTACAAGATTAAAGGCTTCCTTTTAATTGGCACCATTAGAACTGGCGGATTCAACATGTATTGTTTAATGCTTTTGAAAGCATTTTGACATGCTTGATCCCATACAAATGGAACATCCTTCTTCATTAGCCTCGAGAATGGTTGACACCTTCCAGAAATATTTGAGATGAGTCGCTGTATATAGGCTAGTCTCCTTTGTAGCCCTCGCAACTCCCTTAAATTTTGAGGGGGGGGGGAGGGGTGGGGGGCCATTTTACGGACTACCTTGATTTTTGAGGGATCAATTTCAATTCCACAATGAAGGATGACAAAGCCAAGGAATTTGCCTGAATTTACCCCAAATGCACATTTTAAGGGGTTCATTTTCAATTGGTACTTTTGGAGTCTATCAAAAACTTGTTTTAAGTCACTCAAATGATGTTCTCTTTTTCTGGTGTTGATAACCAAATCATCAATGTAGCACTCAATGGTATTGTGAAGCATGTCATTGAAAATTGTCGTCATGGATCTTTGGTTAGTCGCCCCTGCAATTTTCAACCCAAAATTGTAGCAATATATTCCTTTTGGAGTGCCGAAGGCAGTTTTCTCTTGATCCTCTAAAGCCATTTTTATTTGGTTGTAACATGAGAATCCATCCATAACAATAGAGCACCGAAATAGGTTGCTACGTCTACCAATAATTCTGTAATTATGAGTGCAAACTCATCTTTTGGGCATACATCATTGACGTCTCTATAGTCCACACATATACGTAGTGCCCAGTTTTTGAGGACAGGAACAATATTGGACAACCAAGTGGGATATTGGACCTCTCGGATAAAATCGGTAGCAATAAACTTGTTAATCTCGACTTCTATTTGGATTGTTAGCCCTGACCGAAAATGGTGTGGAACTTTCTTCACCCATCGAGTCTTATTATGTATCCCAAGTTTGTGAACTGCAAAGTTTGGGCCTAAACCTAGCATGTCTTGATAACTCCATGCAAATACATCTCGTGTAATAACCCGAACCTAAATTAATATTTCATTATTAATTTATTTAAGTAAAAGACAATTTTACCCCTAAATATTTTAATAGTTTAAAAGTTCACTTTTTATTCGGGAAGGAATTTGGAAATTTCGACTGTACCGTTCCGTAGTGCACGTCAAGATGAGTCCGTAGACATATAGTGGGCTCAAATCGGAGTTGTAACGAAGAAGTTACGATAAAAAAGTACTAATGGCAAAATTATAAATATTTCAGAATGCGATTTTTAAAACCATATTTCTCTCTCTCTCTCTCTCTCTCTCTCTCTCTCTCTCCTGCGAAGAAACCCCTCCCCCAATAATTTTTTTCTTCTTCTCAAGACAGTGATTTCAACACCTCGTCACCGCCACCTCCAACCTCAGTTCTTGGTGGCACCAGTCTCAAACGAACCATATGTTAGGCATTATTCAGGTTCCATATGTTCAGACTGTTGGATCGACTTCAATTTAATATATGTTGATCTAGGCATTCCTAGGATCATGTAGGAATTCGTAGATCGAGAATCGGAACCCTGGATGTTCTGATTCAATAATTTAAAGTTTGGGTTTTATGATAACCGTCCAATCTTACGACTGTGAGCGATCCGACTGTTCAATTTGGACTAAACTTACATGGTAGGTTTAGAAAAGTGTGTTGAACCTATAGGAACCCTTGGACTGGTAATCGGAGGTCGGGGGGCCTTGCTGGCCCGGTTGACAAAGTTTGGGCAGTTTGACCCCTCGGATGACCGTGAGTCTTCCGAGGTAGTTTTACCTTTCGAGAAGTACTAAAACGACCATGTAAACGAGTCTTGACCGAAAGTTGAGTTATTTTGACCATGTTAGGATTAGAGGATTGTTTTATAGTACCTTATAGAAATTCTTGGATATTACATTGATAATTGAAGTTATGGGATTTTCTTTAAAGGTTATTACTTTTCATTAATTGATATTATTATGAATATAAATAAAGTATATGGATTGGGTAGTATTGGGTTATGTATGGAAGTATAATGCTTTAATTGTGGGATACAGTATTTAATGGATTTATATGATTATGGAATGAGTATATATATATATATATATACATATCACTAAATTGTGCGTATTTCTATTATTTTTGTTATTTGAAAGTGTATTAGTATGGGATAATATACCTAAATGTTATTTCGATATTGGGAGATTATGCATTATTGGAACTGATGAAATCACTTGAAATTATTATTATTTAACTGATATATATATTTATTTATTATTATTACCAGGATTAGTATTAAGGTATCAGATGGACTGTTAGTGGTGGATTTATTATTTATAAGTTTTAATGTAATCACCTTTACTTTCTAAGGATATTATATTATGCTTAATTATGTAATGCTGGGAACGGCTTGTTAATTAGTTTGGAGTGGACGAGGAAATTAATTAAATATCTTGTTAATTGTTAAATTCAATATATGTATACTCGGACGTTTGAAGATAGTGAATAATGGAAACTAGTTCTTAACAGAATGTGTTATATTATATTTTAAATATAGTTGAGAACCGGTTTATGGAAAGTTGATATAAAGGTTGGAAAATGGATTTGCAGAATAAAAGATGGTTATGAATAATCAGGGACACCACAGGAGTACCCCCAGTTGCCTTGAAACAGTTTTGTTATTTTTGATAATGCCCCAGGAGTTTTAGGGACACCTGAACTGTGTGGTGCGAGGATTACGGCTCTGGTAGACTTTGTGTTTCCGAGGCCTGCGAGGATTGCGGCTCGGTTGACTTTGTGTCTTCGAGGCTTGCGAGGATTGTGGCTCGGGTTGACTTTGTGTTTTCGAGGCCTGTGAGGATGTGTCACATTATGTGACATAATGAATTGATGGAAAATTCATGGAATTGACATAACACTATTGGAATTGACGGTATATTGTGGGAATTAAATAGAAAACCATGGAATTGACGGAATCTTATCGGAATCGATGACATATTAAAGGAATTGACGAAATATAAACACGGGTACATCTAGGTGGAGAGCGTTTTGGTTGTAAGAGGTTTAAACTAAACTGATGATTTCATCTTGGTATTTTTGAGTAGAAGTTTTAATATCTATTTTCTGATTATATGAGACAAGAATTTAAGGTTTCCAATATATAAGGATTTTCTACAAATCATATCTATTTTCTTAAGGAATGAATTTGTTTTACATGTGAAAGAGGGGAGAATATTTTACTTAATCATTGGTAAGGTTCTTGTGGTTAAGGCTATTTTAATAGTTTTCTCATTTTCTTACTCCTTTGTAACAATTTAATTATATAAATATAGAAAAGTGGAAGAACTATGTGTGGCTTGATCCCTTAGTAAGAGTACATAGGTAGCCTGGGGTCTCACCTAGGTGCAGTTGCGAACTAAAGTTACTTATGGAAAGCTAGTTTCACTTCTTCGGTTTTGAATGAGTTTGGTATCGACCTTATTGGTGGTTCTAAAGCTCGATTGAAAACGAGGCTTGATTAGATGAATATTAACTTTTCCGTTGGACTAAGTAAGTGTTGTTAAATTGTGGGTGTGGCCAAGACAGATTTGAAACCATTTTGGATTGTTGTATGAATTGGGCCGAGTGCTTAAACTACTTATGATTGTGTTGGGTGTTAAACATTGCTTGATGGAAATTGAAAAGTTATCTTATGTTAATTATGGTGAGCAGGCGTAATTTATTCGAGTTCATTAATTGCCTTGTTAAATCTCATTATTTGACTTAAGGGTTTTGCTGATGGTTCTGTTTTGGATTATTGATGCCAGAGGCCTATTTTGTAGATTGCTAGACGAATAACTTGTGCTTGCTGCTAGTTGTGGATATTAACTGTGTTTTTTTAACAGGTTGAAATTTTTTTGGAAAACGAGCAATTTACAGGGGAGACTCTGCCGAATTTTCGGTAGAAGTCAAACTTGAAGTAAATTTTGTTTTTGGTTAGATGGGTAATTTGGTCATTTGTGTCCGGGATCCGCCAGGTGTCGAACATGCACATGGTTCGGTTCAAATTCCAAAGCAAAAATTGGGTCGAGTCCTGTCATCTCTTTACTCTTGCAACAATTTTGTGTATTCTTCTAACTCTTGCGGTGTTAACAAAGCACTGACAAAGATAGGTTTTAGGCTATCAACTATACCAAGATTAATTTTTTGGATATCATCAATCGTGGCTTGACCTCCCTCCTTCATTTGTGGCGGAGCTGGTTGTACTATGTCAATGAATTCCTCGATATTTTGAGGATAATCGTCTTGGTCCATTGTTTCTTTGAAAGAGGTACAATTGACTTGGACAAGGTCATCCTTTATTTTCACCATTTTGACTGTTTTGATCACAGCTTTCTCTTGACTCTTAGGGCCAGTTTGGCATTACTGTGCTGTGAAAATAATCGCTGTCAGATTTGCTGTGAGAGAAAGCAGTTTGGCGTTTGGTAAACTTTTTGTTATAAGTGATGTTTGTACAATAATCAATTTGAGTGTTTGGTAAATTTTTTTGTAAAAGTGTTGTGAGCTTTGTATAATGACTAAAAAGGGCATTATGTTGAAATGACTTTTCTGTTCAAGTGTTTGGTAAAAGGAAAAGCACTTTCACCTTAACTTATATAATATTTTTTTTTACAAATTTATAAATAAACCCAATCCTAGACATGTATTTATAAAAAAACTCAAGCACTATTTAAACATAGAAATACACCCAAAATTAACCCCAAAATCAACAATTGTATATTTTTTGGGTGTGTTTATAAATGGGTTTTGAGTGTGTGTAATGATGGGTTTTGGGTGTATTTATAAAGTGTTTTGGGTGTTGGGTTTTTTTTATAATTTCATCCTCCATTTTGGGTGTTTTAGTGAAACTCCCATTTTTTTTTGTATTAAATATGTTTCCATCACACCTTAAAAATTATTTTAATTATAAAATAAATAAAGTATTCCATTAAAAATAAATATGTTGTCAATAATATGGTCATAACAAAAATTAAACTAGTCATAAACAAGCAATCATATACATTTCTAACCAGATGAACTCATTAAACTTGCGGTTATCTGATTTCTCAATGCCTCCATTTCTTGTGTTACAGGACCATCTTCTTGTTGTGCATCAACCTCTCTCTCAATCTCTTCATCTTGAGTACCATTTAGGTCATCTTCACTTTCATCAAAATGACAATCACGTTTGGCATGTCTTTTTATATAGTTATGAAGTGCCATGGTTGCAATGACTATTTTGACTTGTTTTGCAAAATGATAACTAGGCATGTCTCGTAAAATACTCCATCTTTTTTTCCATACTCCAAAAGTGTGTTCAATAACACTTCTAAGGGAAGAGTGTGCATGACTGAATACCTCATTATGACCCATCGGTTGAACACCCCTACGAAAATCAGGAAGATGATATCTTTCACCTTTATATGGTCCTAAGTAGCCTCTCATTTGTGGGTATCCTGCATTTGACAATTTAGAGTCTTTCTGAAAAGTGTGTCCCTATTCATCGAGAATTGCCCATTATATGGACAGAATACAAGTTAATTATGAAAGAACACAGGCTGATATTCAGCCCCTGAAAACATCTCACCTACCACATATACATGTATCTAATTATAGCTAACCTACCACATATACATGTATCTAATTAATGAAAGAATCTGCTGGCATTTAAATCTGATTTCCTTTGACATCCCCCTTCAAATTGATGCTGGTAAATCGACAAGCATCAATTTGCTAACGAGGAAATGATGGCGCTGACGTGGCATGGATTTGGTGAAGATATCGGCGATCTGCAGAGTAGTAGAGACATGTGGAAGGGTGATAACTTGATGATCATAGGCTTCTCTGATTGAGTGACAGTCAACTTCGATGTGCTTGGTGCGTTCGTGATAGACGGGGTTGGCTGCAATTTGGATGGCACTAGTGTTGTCAGCATGCAGTGGAGTAGGATGAATAGGACCGAAACCAAGTTCTGTGAGGAGACCACGCAACCAAATGATCTCGGAGCATGCAGCAGACATGGCTCTGTACTCTGCCTCAGTGGATGATTTGGAGACGTGGTCTTGCTTCTTGCATTTCCAAGAGATAAGGGCATCACCAAGAAACATACACCAGCCAGTAGTAGATTTCCTGGTGTCTGGGCAACCGGCCCAATCAGCGTCACTGTAGGCTTGGAGCTGAAGGGAAGAACCTGTAGGTAAGAATAAACCACGACTAGGTGTGCCAAGAATGTAGTGAATGATGCGGCGAACGACAGATAGATGGAGATGCGTTGGGGCTTGCATGAACTTGCTGACAGTGTGAACAGCATAAGAGATGTCTGGTCGGGTGATGGTTAGATAGATAAGACTACCAACCAGCTTCCGATAGGTAGTAGGATCCTCAAGAAGCTCCCCGTCGTCACGTCGATATTTCACATTAAGTTCCATGGGGGTGTCAACTGAAATAGTGTTGGTGAGGCCGGCTAACTGAACCAGATCTTGACTATACTTGTGTTGATGCAAGAAGAGACTATGAGGCCGATGATGCACCTCTAAACCCAAGAAATAAGTGAGCTGACCAAGATCTTTCATGTGGAATGTAGAATGCAACAAAGTTTGACCCGCTGAGATTGCCTCCAAGTCAGAGCCGGTGATGACAATATCATCCACATAAACAAGGAGGACAACGATACCCATGGATGTCCGTTGTAGAAAAAGAGAGGAGTCATACTGACTTTGAGTGAAAGAAAAACCAAGCAAAGTGGAGCGAAACTTTTCAAACCATACTCTCGGTGCCTGCTTCAAACCATACAAAGAACGTTTTAGTTTGCAAACATCATTAGGTGAGGAAGTAGGCATACCATAAGGAAGTTTCAAGTAAACTTCTTCCTTGAGATCACCGTGGAGGAATGCGTTATTGACATCCATTTGATGTAAGGGCCAGGATTGGGATGCAGCAAGAGCAAGTATAGTTCGGACAGTGGTCATTTTGGCGACTGGTGCGAAGGTCTCATCATAGTCAAGACCATATTCCTGTTTGTTGCCAAGTGCCACTAACCGAGCCTTATAACGGTCTATGGACCCATCAGAACGAAGCTTGACAGAAAACACGAACTTACTGCCAAGGGGTTTCACGGATGAGGGACATGGAACAACGTCCCAAGTTTGGTTTTCCTCAAGGGCGAGAAGTTCGGCTTCAACAGCTTTCTGCCAACACTCATGCTTCATGGCCTGTTTATAAGACGAAGATGAACATAACAGACACAACCAAAGGTACGAAGGTTGGAATAAATTGGAGGGTGACCAAATAACCTGGTGAAGGGAGAGTTGTGGTTCAATGTGGGAGAAGGCAACCTGTTGATGAGATGGACAGCAGTGGATAGAGCTTCACACCAAAAACGAGAGGGCGTAGATGACTCTAACAAGAGAGTGCGAACAACATCAAGGAGGTGACGGTTCTTCCTTTCAGCCACCCCATTTTGTTGAGGTGTTGAAGGACAAGACCGTTGAGAGATGATGCCGTGAGTCTGTAGGAAGTCCTGAAACAAATGAGACATATACTCACCCCCATTGTCAGAATGAAGGATTTTGATTTGGGCCGAAAATTGGGTCTGAATATGTGCATGAAAAATCTTAAAATAGAAAAGACTTCATCTTTAGAATGTAGAAAATATATCCAAGTGAAACGACTATAGTCGTCAATAAAAGTGACAAAATATTTGTAATTAGCATGAGAAGTGATTGGTGCCATGCCCCACACATCACTATGCATCATATCAAAAGGTTGAACTATATGTGGTGTGTGAATAGGAAAAGGCAGAGTCTTACTTTTGCCAAGTTTGCAAGAATTGCAATCAAATTGAACAGCACTAAGAGATGGTGATTCTTTATTCCCAAGAAAACCAGATTTCCATAAATCATGAAGGACATTAGAATTTGGATGTCCGAGACGTTTATGCCACGCTCGGTAATCAACATGAGCAGAATTACAGGAGACAAAGGGTGAAAAAGAAGACAAAGGAAATTGAAGAGGAAAAAGACGTCCCACTTTAGGCCCCCTCGTGATCATCCTCCCTGACTGTTGATCCTGCACAACACAACCAGATTTAGAGAATTCCACTTTGCAATCATTATCAACCAACTGACCGACTGACACAAGATTGGTGGTAAGACCAGGAGATACAAAGACATCAGTGAGAGAGGGAGAAACATCACCAGTGGCCGTGATAGGTAAATGATTGCCATCAGTAGTATGAATTTTGAGATTTCCAAAATATTTGTTTACATTGGTAAGAGAATCAGCATTGTTTGTCATATGATGGGAAGCCCCGGAATCAAAGTACCAAGGAGATGATGTAAAGAAGGGTTTAGCTGAGAGTCCTAAAGCTGAAAATGCAGAAATGATCATTTGTTGAATCATGTCAGGGGTCACAGGTTGAACAGGAGCATGAGCACTTTGTGTCAGCGGTACTGTAGTCACAGAACTTCCAGCACTAGAAAAGCCAACGGAGACAGTATATGCGGTCTCTGATTTCTTGGGGGGTCGAGTAGGACATTCCTTGATGATATGGCCATCCTTTTTGCAGTAGTTGCAGAATTTTCGGGGACAATTTGCAGCATAATGACCAAATCCCTTGCAACAAAAACATGAACAGTGCTCATATCCCTGCCTCGTGGCTTACCTTGTGCTGCATAGGCCACAGGAACAGATGCAGATCGCCGTTGTTCCATGGTGGTTTGAGTGAGAAGGCGTTGTTCCTCGCAAAGGAGATCATTGAGGCATGTATCCAAGGAGGGGACAGATTCCCGGTTCATAAGATTGGATCTGGTGCCTTCAAATTCAGGTCTCAATTTCATTAGAAATTGATCCCTTTGGGTAGTTTCATGGATAGATTGAACAGAACTAAGACCTTCGGATGGTAAGTCAGCATAAACTATATCAGTGTATTCAGCCCAAAGATTAGTGAATCTAGAGTAAAAATCAGAGATAGAAAGGCTATCCTGTTGGAAAGCGGCCAATTCATGTTCAAGCTGGAACCAACGAGCAGTGTTTTGTTGACTATAGATCTTCTTCAAGTAAGTCCACATTTGAGCTGCAGTCTGAGATGATCGAAGGTTCAAGATGATATTAGGTTCAACAGATCCTAAAATCCATGTCATAACTTGAGCGTCCTTGACTTCCCACTTGGCGTGCTGGTCTTTGACTTTGTTTTTGTCAGGAGCTGGGTTACTTCCATCAACATGTCCCCACGCCTCCTTACCTTTGATGAAAATCCCGAAGTGAAACGCCCAAGCAGAGTAGTTCTTGCCATTGAAATGAATCAAAGAAACATTGACTTATCTGAAGACATGATGTCAAGAGAACTTGATCAAGAATAACTGAGACTAAGGAACTTGAGAGCAAGAGATAATTCAGAGCTATAACTTTGATACCATGACAATTTAGAGTCTTTCTGAAAAGTGTGTCCCTATTCATCGAGAATTGCCCATTATATGGACAGAATACAAGTTAATTAGGAAAGAACACAGGCTGATATTCAGCCCCTGAAAACAGCTCACCTACCACATATACATGTATCTAATTATAGCGAACCTACCACATACACATGTATCTAATACATGTATCTAATTATAGCTAACCTACCACATATACATGTATCTAATTAATGAAAGAATCTGTTGGCATTTAAATCTGATTTCCTTTGACAGCATCCTCCATCTCTTGTTTTTCAATTGTAATTTTTCATACGGTCTTCCTATCTCTTTACTAATATTTGTAACCAACCTTGCCCATCCAACTTTATTAAAGTGAGTACCAGGACGATTGCCTTGATCCACCTCCTTGATACAAAGGTCAATGAAGATGGCTATAGTTTGAGCATTCCACAATGCTGACAATTTTCGGGATCCACTTGCAACATTTTCAGTTGTGGTTAAGTTACTATTCTTCTTTGACATTTTATTGCAACAAAGACATTATATATAAGAACAAAAGAAAATAATAGGAATACAAGCAAATTACAAAACAAAACAAACTAGCCACAATGCAATGCATAGATGTTTATCTAATCTAAACAGTGCATAGATGGTTCAAACTAGCAAAAAGATAAAATTAAGGAGAACTATGAATACAGCTTGCTAATAAAAATTAAAGAGGAAAGTTTCATACAGTGGAATATGTAGGAATTTTTGGAATCACAATCTTGAATTGCTCAGGAGATAGACCCTATCACATAATTAAAGTAAAAATTGGGTAAACCACATTGTCAAAAGAAATCTTACAATAAACTCACAAGTAAATGTATTCCAACAATAAAAGTTCCCAAAACAGTGACCACATTTTGGAAAGCATACTCTGTGAAACGGCCCACTGATATAAATTATAATCCAAAAGTCTCATACTCTCCTTCAATCATTTTGTTTTTTACGATACGAAATACATAGTATTTTATAAATATCCAAGTTCTTATTTACACTGCTTGTGGAAACTAGGCCCCTAAAACAAGAAACAACACCGAATAAAGTCACTACCATTTTAGGGTTTAGGGTTGAAAGTCACTATGATTTGAAATGCCTACAAAAATGTCCAAAGTTGAACTATACGCCTCAAGTAATCCCAGCCCCAAACTACCACTTACTGTTCAAAGGCTTTGTCATTCCTCTACAAAATAAACCAAAAGGTTGCCATCACAATAAATATTTGGGAAATGTTTGGGATAGAAATATTTCAATTGTTCAGGCTTGCAAAGCTGATATTCACTAGGAAAGTTTGTATGGACCCCTACATTAACTAAGGTACATGAATTAGTTTGGAAATACCAAAACTCTTATATAATTAACAGTACCAGAAATAGAAAGCCTCTTGAACTGGCAACACTTAACTTTCTTTATCTCTATCTCTAAACTAATAAAAAGAATTCACTTAACCAACTTGCAACTCAACAAGATACCAAATAACAATGGCTCACTACTTATATAAAAATTCATCTGGAACCAAAAATTCCAAAATGAAAACATAACCAATGAATCAATAATAGTTTTTCAAGATACAGAGATTAGGGAGAGAAACAAAACAAGACCATAACAAAATCTATCATATAACATAAATGCAAGCATTTCAGGTACAGTGCAATATAAAAAGATTTAAAACCACTGAGAGGTTCTTTAGAGCTTTATGCTTTGAAGGTTATGACCAAGATAATATAGAAAATTCCAAGTAAAAATTAGAGCTTTATGCTTTGGAGGTTTGACCCCCTCGAAATCTATTTGCCCAAATAGAGAGAAACAGCAAGAGAGAGAGAGTGAGTCAGTGAGGAAGGCTGTGATATTTTTTGCAAGTGAGACAAACAGTAACAGAGCAAGCGAGACAAATAATAACAGAGCAATAGATAAAGACAACAGGGAAATTTTTCCATGTGCGTTTTTTCTGTTGGTTTTCTATATCACGTATTGGCATGAGAATGAGATTTTTCCATTTGGGAAGATAGTTAAACCCTAGAAATTAAGAGAAAGAGAGACGATTGAAATTGAAAAGAAATAAACATAATATGTGTCTCTTACTTGAGTCTTGTGGCTCAGCAGTACGCTTCAATTGATCCAACAAGAAAAAACTGTAGGCAGAATGGAAGAGAAGGAGAGGAGTGGGCTCTGTGAAGAGATTGTGTGAAGAAGCAACGTGATGTGAGGGAAGGAGGAAGAGAGAGCGTGAAAATAGATTAGGGTATTTTGGAAGTTTGTAAAATTCATTAAAACCCAGCACTCCTCAAATCTGATTACCGTATAATCAGAAAATGAAAGCAGGTCATTAGCTGCTTTCATTTATGCTTTCTCTCATAGCAATTTTTAACAATAAGTGATTTTCTCATAGGTTACCAAACGGATTGGGCTTCCCAAATTTTTTTAAAAATCACTTATTACCTCAAATAAGCAATGTCAAACGGGTACTTAACCTTCCATTTTCTTTTGTTCGGGCCAAAATTCTGCACACCCAGCCCAACACTAAAAGCCTAGAGAAACAAAACGAACTCCAGGGCCCAAGCAGTACTGGACTTTGCGATTAGAAGAATCAAGGGCCCAAAATCCGGAAAGCCCAACCCAGGATCTATAAAAAAAAACTTAGAAAAGAAGAAAAAGAAATCAGCCCATAGCTCCAAAAAATAAAAAGGGCTTGGCATGATTAAAAGAGAAGAAGAAGCCCAAAAGGAAACAGACCCACGTGGATCTTTTTTCTACCTGACTTAGAAAAGTCAACAATTTCAACTGGGTTGATAAGGAGTTGACAAAGGCAGGCGAAAAGAAGGGACATTTTCTAAAAAAGATAAGCAGGAAACAGGGAGTTGTTCAAATTGGAAAATCAAACTAACGATCACAGTTTGAGCTCTCACAGGGGGCAGTTGGAATTAAAGAGGGGTTAGGTTCTTTTTCAAAAAAACAGGGAAGTAATTGTCTTAAGAACTAACCATTGAGGGCTTATCTGCCAAAACTGATAAAACCCCCTTTTTTTTTACATTTAAAAATGAAAGATCTTTTGGGAAATTTTGCCGCCCATTATTAAGAGAAAGAAGCCCCATTCCAAAGCATTTCTTACAAATATAGGAGAGGGTGAACAGAGCAGAGGACACACAAAAATCAAAAACCAAAATCAACCAAAGACAAACACTCAAAATGATCATTTGATCTCTGAGAACCTTCAAACAAATTGAAGCAACCAAGAGCTCACTCGAGCCACAGAAGAAGCCAGCTATAAATCAGAACCTCCAGTTTAGACTTAAGAGAAATAGGTCATTCAAAACAAGATTTCTCTCGTTACAAATTTGGTTCAGCAAGAGCCAAAACAAGCAGAGTTTGAGTTTTTTACAAATATGAAAACCTCAACAAATTTATGGAGAGCCCTGCCCAAGTAGAACAGGTACCACAGTACAGTTCCGGCTCAGTAATCTTCAAGTCCAGCCACTTCTGCCCCTTTCAAACTGAAGAGGCCGCAATTCTGCCCATTCAGAAGGCCTCCCAGGGATAAATGGAAGTCCAGCCTTCTTTTGTCTTTCTAGAGTTGATTTTTCCCTTTTAAGTTTTGTAAAAGGTACTTCTGCCTAAAACAGTTTACTATCTTATCATTATTCTGGCAGAACTATCAGTTTTGTACTGTGAAAAATTGTGAAGTCCTCACCATCTGAGGCAAGAAAAGAACTTACTTGGTAGATATTCCTCACCCCAATTCACAATCACTTGTTTAGAAATCAGTAACTTGGGGCGCAAGTTATCTATTCTTAAGAAGTCTGCTAAGATTTTTATTGCTAGCAGTGGCACGCTCGCACATTAAAGAAAGTTGACTTGTTGACCAGTCAATGGGGAACTTTACCCTTCCATCACAAGAGCAAACACGAAATGGTGAACACCTAATATTATGGACTTTTTCTTGTTGATAATTGGAAGGGTTCTCCAAGCGTTGAAAGATTGAGATGCAGGGTGGTTTTTCTACCCCCTAGGCGTTTTGAACACAGAGATGTGAAATGGCCTTGTATTCACCTCATCTTCTCTAAACATAGCTTGTTCCATATAAGTGACCACTTCAGGCTCGGAAGTTTCTGGCTGTGGCCTTCGAAGAGAAACTTTGAGCATGCCACTCTCATTTTGAACTGTGAGGCTAGCATTCCTTTTCTTCGCTTTACGACCATTGAGTTTTTACCTTTAATGGAGCAGATGTTGTTTTTGGTAATGATGCCTTTTTGTGAATGACAACTCGTTTACTCGGCCCATCGTTTTTGCCAAAAGTAGTCAAAATGACTAAACTGCCTCCTGGGAATAGATTGATTGATCTGTCGAAGAGGACAAATATAGCTTGCTATCATCAATGATTCCATTGTTTGTTTCAACGAGCTTATTTTCTTTTCACTAGGCTTCGTTTTTTGATGTCTTAACAATTATCTTTGGCTTAGGAGCCTTTGAAGTTGGGACTTCTTCAACTTTTGAGGATAAGGCACCACGAGGTGTTAGCTTCACTCGAATTACTCTTGAAGGGTTTGGGTGCTTCAATCTTTTGTGAATGAGAGACCAGGTGGACCATAAAACTTCGTATCAGAGTAATTTACCCCTTCGCCTCTGAACAGGTCAATGTCAGCCCAAACATTTTTAACTTCCCCATCCACCAAGTATTTGAAGCACTGGTTATGTGTGGAAGGGACTACGCCCATGTGTATGGAGCCATGGGCATCCCAGCAGGACATTGTATGAAGTGTCAGCATTGATCACATGGAATAGGGCGTCTGAATATAGGTCCCCCTATTTCCATTTGCAAGGCAATAGAGCCCATGACTTTTTGCCCAAGTTGGTTGAACCCTTGAATAGTCAGCATAGAGGGAGACAACCTTCGGGCACTCATCCCTATAGCATGGAGCGTCTTTAATAGGATAAGATTCACGGCCGAACTACAATATAACAAGATTCAATTAATGGTCGTGCCTACAAGTTTGCCAGTGACATAAATAAGTCGGTTATGGATTTGGACCCAAGTAAAAAGTCATCTTTACCAAAAGTAATTGCTGTCAGGCACGATGCATAAGCCATTACAAGTGCTTCCCTAAGCTTTCTCAACATTTGTAAAGCGTCATAGATATTTAAAGGAGCAGTATCGAGCTTAGGGTCCTTTGTTGCATGTGATTGAGATGACTCCTTTGTTTTACTAGTATCGGGCTTAGGGTCCTTTTGCTTTCTAGGAGGACGGTGGAACTTCCCCTAGGACAGTTTTTTTCCGACGAGGAGACCTTAATCTCATTCCCCTTTTACTTCTTCTCGGTTTTAAAGGAATCAGCTTCCTCGTTTTGTTGTGCACTATCAGCAGATGGGATGCTTCGACCGAAGCAGAGATTAATCTCATCAACCTTTGTGTCAACCTCATATTCCTCCATAGAACCCATATTGCATTGCATAATTTCTTCCTAAACTTCAGATTCACTCGAGAA